GGGTACTAGTAGTGACAACATGGTCGGATGTACTTCTGTTGATTCAGTAGTATATGGGTACCAGTAAGGACAACATGGTCGGATGTACTTCTGTTAATTCAGTAGTATATGCGTACCAGTAAGGACAACGTGGTCGGATGTACGTCTGTTCATTCAGTAGTATATGGGTACAAGAAAGGACAACATGGTCGGATGTACTTCTGTTCATTCAGCAGCTAGTGGGTACTAATATGGACAACATGGTCGGATGTACCTCTGTTCATTCAGTAGTATATGGGTACCAGTAATGACAACATGGTCGGATGTACATCTAATCATTCAGTAGTATATGGGTACCAGTAAGGACAACAAGGTAGGATGTTCTTCTGTTAATTCAGTAGTATATGGGTACCAGTAAGGACAATGTGGTCGGATGTACTTCTGTTCATTCAGTAGTATAGGGGTACCAGTAATGACAACATGGTCGGATGTACGTCTAATCATTCAGTAGTATATGGGTACAGTAAGGACAACATGGTCGGATGTTCTTCTGTTAATTCAGTAGTATATGGGTACTAGAAATGACAACATGGTCGGTTGTACCTCTGTTTATTCAGCAGCAAATGGGTACCAGTAATGACAACATGGTCGGATGTACCTCTGTTCATTCAGTAGGATATGGGTACCAGTAATGACAACATGGTCGGATGTACCTCTGTTCATTCAGTAGTATATGGGTACCAGTAATGACAACATGGTCGGATGTACCTCTGTTCATTCAGTAGTATATGGGTACTAGTAAGGACAACATGGTCGGATGTACCTCTGTTCATTCAGTAGTATATGGGTACTAGTAATGACAACATGGTCGGATGTACCTCTGTTCATTCAGTAGCATATGGGTACTAGTAAGGACAACATGGTCGGATGTACCTCTGTTCATTCAGTAGTATATGGGTACTAGTAAGGACAACATGGTCGGATGTACCTCTGTTCATTCAGTAGTATATGGGTACCAGTAAGGACAACATGGTCGGATGTACGTCTGTTCATTCAGTAGTATATGGGTACTAGTAATGACAACATGGTCGGATGTACCTCTGTTCATTCAGTAGTATATGGGTACTAGTAATGACAACATGGTCGGATGTACGTCTGTTCATTCAGTAGTATATGGGTACTATCAATGACAACATGTTCGGATGTACCTCTGTTCATTCAGTAGTATATGGGTACTAGTAAGGACAACATGGTCGAATGTACATCTGTTCATTCAGTAGTATATGGGTACCAGTAAGGACAACATGGTCGGATGTACCTCTGTTCATTCAGTAGTATATGGGTACCAGTAATGACAACATGGTCGGATGTACGTCTAATCATTCAGTAGTATATGGGTACCAGTAAGGACAACATGTTCGGATGTTCTTCTGTTAATTCAGTAGTATATGGGTACCAGTAAGGACAACATGGTCGGATGTACTTCTGTTAATTCAGTAGTATATGGGTACCAGTAAGGACAACATGTTCGAATGTACCTCTGTTCATTCAGTAGTATATCGGTACTGGTAATGACAACATGGTCGGATGTACCTCTGTTCATTTAGTAGTATATGGGTACTAGTAGTGACAACATGGTCGGATGTACTTCTGTTGATTCAGTAGTATATGGGTACCAGTAAGGACAACATGGTCGGATGTACTTCTGTTAATTCAGTAGTATATGGGTACCAGTAAGGACAACATGGTCGGATGTACGTCTGTTCATTCAGTAGTATATCGGTACAAGTAAGGACAACATGGTCGGATGTACTTCTGTTCATTCAGTAGTATATGGGTACCAGAAAGGACAACATGTTCGGATGTACCTCTGTTCATTCAGTAGTATATGGGTACTAGTAATGACAACATGGTCGGATGTACCTCTGTTCATTCAGTAGTATATGGGTACCAGTAATGACAACATGGTCGGATGTACTTCTGTTCATTCAGTAGTATATGGGTACCAGTAAGGACAACATGGTCGGATGTACGTCTGTTCATTCAGTAGTATATGGGTACCGGTAAGGACAACATGGTCGGATGTACCTCTGTTCATTCAGTAGTATATGGGTACCAGTAATGACAACATGGTCGGATGTACATCTAATCATTCAGTAGTATATGGGTACCAGTAATGACAACATGGTCGGATGTTCTTCTGTTAATTCAGTAGTATATGGGTACCAGTAAGGACAATGTGGTCGGATGTACTTCTGTTCATTCAGTAGTATATGGGTACCAGTAATGACAACATGGTCGGATGTACGTCTAATCATTCAGTAGTATATGGGTACCAGTAAGGACAACATGGTCGGATGCTCGTCTGTTGTAAGGGTACCAGAAATGACAACATTGTTGGATGTACCTCTATTCATTCAGTAGTATATGAGTACCAGTAATGACAAGATGGTCGGATGTACCTCTGTTCATTCAGTAGTATATGGGTACCAGTAATGACAACGTTGTCGGATGTACCTCTGTTCATTCAGCAGCTAATGGGTACTAGTAAGGACAACATGGTCGGATGTACCTCTGTTAATTCAGCAGCTAGTTGGTACTAGTAAGGACAACATGGTCGGATGTACCTCTGTTCTTTCGGTAGTAAATGGGTACTAATATGGACAACATTGTCGGATGTACCTCTGTTCATTCAGTAGTAAATGGGTACTAATATGGACAACATGGTAGGATGTACGTCTGTTCATTCAGTAGTATACGGCTACCAGTAAGGACAACATGGTCGGATGTACCTCTTTTCATTCAGCAGTAAGTGGGTACTAGTATGGACAACATTGTTGGATGTACGTCTGTTCATTCAGTAGTATATGGGTACCGGTAAGGACAACATTGTCGGATGTACCTCTGTTCATTCAGCAGTAAATGGGTAGTAGTATGGACAACATGGTCGGATGTACGTCTGTTCATTCAGTAGTATATGGGTACCAGTAATGACAACATGGTCGGATGTAGGCTTCTTCATTCAGTAGTATATGGGTACCAGTAAGGACAACATGGTCGGATGTACTTCTGTTCATTCAGTAGTATATGGGTACCAGTAAGGACATGATGATGATGTGACTGTGAACGTTATGGCGCCTCACTGGCAGTGTGAACTCCAGAAGAGGCTCAGTTATGAGTTTGCAATTTTTATTGTAGTTTTGCAATATTGCGTATTCTGTGCTGTCTTAACGCTGAGTCTGCGATTAAAAAAACTGGCAGATATTAATCAGTATCGAAACGCCAGCAGATATAATCCAGTATCGAGTAAGTGAGTGAGTTTAGTTTTACGCCACACTCAGCAATATTCCAACTACATGGCTGTGGTCTGTAAATAATCGAGTCTGGACCAGACAATCCAGTGATCAACAGCATGAGCATCGATCCGTGCAATTGGGAACCGATGACATGTGTCAACCAAGTCAATGAGCCTGACCACCCGATCCCGTTAGTCACCTCTTACGACAAGCATGGGTTACTGAAGGTTCATTCTATCCCGGACCTTCACGGGTCGTATGATGATGTGACCGTGAACGTTATCGCACCTCACTGGCAGTATGAACTCCAGAAGAGACTCAGGAATGAAATTCGAGGACACATTTATTGACCAGGTACTTAACCAAGCCTTGGGCTTGGATTTGGAGTACTATACATGTGAAAATTGTTGTCGAAAATACATGTCTATGCAATATTTGCAGAAAATATTTCAGGCGAAATACTTGAGTGAGTGAGTGTGTGAGTGAATTTAGTATTACGCCGCTTTTAAAATATTCCAGCAACATCACGGCGGGGAACACCAGAAATGGGCTTCCCCGGTCTTCGGCGTTACGGGCGAACGCCTCAACCACTAGGCTACAATACTTGACGGTTGGAGTGTAAGCCTAGAGTTAGCCTAGTGGTTAAAGCGTTCGCTCGTCACGCCGAAGACACGGGTTCGATTCCCCACATGGGTACAATGTGTAAAACCCATTTCTGGTGTCCCCCGCCGTGATATTGCTGAAATATTGCTAAAAGCGGCGTAAAATCCAACTCACTCACTCACAATACTTGGCAAACAAATACAACATATGCAGTAACATTAAGCAACCTTTTGACATTCTTGACCGCTGAGGCGTCTCTTTTACATACTGTGACGTCATGTCTACCACGTCACCACACCTGGCCTCCCTGTATGTCTATATTCTCCTTCTCCACCAACACCTTGTTACGCAGCCTTCAGTATAAATATCTGAAGTAATAAGACCCCTTCTCATTGTCATCATATTAGCATCCATAATGTCCACGTCAAGGACTTACAGTTATATATCTGCTGACATATACATATATATATAAATCTTAACGACGGATATCTTATTGCTCGTTTTCGAGTCCTAGTCAAAAGTTTCAAAGAAATTTCCAACCATAGAGGCATCAATGACAAAATTATGTCTTATTGTGTAGTCTCCATTTCAAAGTTGAAACACGTTAACCCACAAATCTGAAAGCGAAATAATTCAGTGTGAAACCAACACTCAACGAAGATATGTCGTGTTATATAGGCCATCTTCGCAATCACATTCTAAAATTAACATGGCTTTTAAATTGAAACAACAATATTCCAGCTATATTTCGGCGGTCCCGTTCTAACGGGTTTCACGGATGCTGTACTATTGATATACACAGCAGAGTGATAGAGTTAGCAACAAAGTCAGTAATACAAAGTATTCATTCGTCGGTCAGTGGTCAAACATCCAAGCTATGCCAAATATCAAGGATAATAAGGGTCAGAGAATGGTTCACAATACTGTCCTCAAGTGACCATTATCAGAAACAAGAACAATAGTCTGTCTCTGCATTACGCACATAACATATCGTCGTGTATTCTACCATCTTAGAATAGCATCACATTTCCTGTGTAAAGAAACTGATGAACTAGGGACATGAATAGAAAAGGAACAATTGTATCTGTTAAACGTTTCCTAAGAATCATTACGCTTTTTCAGAATGCGGACAGGAAAGAGACTTGCATTTGCAACTCTTGTGACGTTGTTGCTTGAGTTGCATATTGCCAAAACACAGAAAGTGTCAACTCAAGATGGCCCAGTCCTTGGGCAACGCCTGTCAGTGTTGGGCAAGTCCATTGACGTATTCTATGGAATCCCATACGCCAAGCCTCCTGTAGGCGATCTCCGCTTCAAATACCCACAACGTTCAGAGTCATGGGGACCGGAAGTTAGGGATGCACAGAAACCGACGCCATCTTGCTTCCAAATTAAAGATGCTCTTGACACAGATGAGACTCACAAACAGATACCCGAAGATTACAGTGAAGACTGCCTTCATCTTACAGTGTGGGCACCGTCAGACAATGGTGGCAATCTGGCAGTGATGGTGTGGATCTATGGTGGAGGGTTTGTTAGTGGATCTACACGAATGCCACTGTATGAAGGAAAATACCTTGCAGCAGAGAATGACGTCATCGTTGTTTCAATGAATTACAGATTGGGGCCTTTAGGGTTCAGGCTACCTCGGGCCAGACACCATCCCTGGCAACATGGGCTTGATGGACCAACGACTGGCCTTACAGTGGGTGAAAGACAATGTTGCCAACTTTGGTGGAGATCCATCCCGAGTCACCATATTTGGAGAAAGTGCTGGAGGCGTCAGCGTGAGTCACCACCTGGTGTCACCACTGTCACGTGACTTGTTTGACAGAGTCATCATGCAGAGTGGGGCCCCCAATAGCCCTTGGGCATACACCATACCTCAAACAGCAACAGTGAGAATAAAGAAGATTGCTGATCACTTTGAATGTCCATCTTCAACTGACGCAGACATATATGAGTGCTTGAAGAAAGCAGATGCTCAAACTATGACAGACCTTCAGCTTAGTGGTTTGTTTGATGTAGTAGAAGCATTTATTCCAGTTGTGGATGGGTACTTCCTTCCTGATGACCCCAAAAGTCTTCTGTCCAGCGGATCCATCAAGCAGACCAGTGTATTGCATGGGTTTACAGAAGACGAGAATACTCTGTTTTTGGCAATGGCGTTGAAGCAAATGAGAAACGTGTCCAGATTACCCGAAACACTAATTTTAAGTCAACCAGAATATGAAAGTCTTCTTACCTATGACTTTGTTAGTGGTAAAGGATATGAAGAGGCTCTTCACCTGTTTTATGAAAGTCAGAAAGTTCCTTTAAAGGACAGCCACTACTTTGATGTCCTGACTCACATGACTTCGGATAGGGATTTCAAATGTCCTCATCTTGAGTTTGACAGATTGTACACACCTGCTAACCCTACCTACGTGTACAGTTTTAATCATCGACTATCAATTAGTCCGTATCCACAGTGGATAGGAGCAGCCCACTGGTACGAGCTTGACTTTGTATTTGGTTGGGTTCTGGAAAAGTCTCTGGGATGTACAGAGGAGGAGATGGAACTCAGCAGGACCATGATGACGTACTGGACCAACTTTGCCAAGTCAGGGTGAGTGAGACGTCAAATGTCATACATCATCTGCTCGGACAAGTGTGTTGTACAATAGTTATCTATTAAAATATCTCCGACAAGTCAACTGCTGTATACGTTATTTACTCAGAGACGTCAAGCTGGCATACATCATCTGCTCGGACAAGTGTGTTGTACAATAGTTATCCACTCCGGCAAGTCAACTGTTGTATACGTTATTTACTCAGAGACGTCAAATGTCATACATCATCTGCTCGGACAAGTGTGTTGTACAATAGTTATCTACTCCGACAAGTCAACTGCTGTATACGTTATTTCCTCTGAGGAGTCAATGGCATACATCATCTGCTCGGACAAGTGTGTTGTACAATAGTTATCTACTCCGGCAAGTCAACTGCTGTATACGTTATTTACTCAGAGACGTCAAATGCCATACATCATCTGCTCGGACAAGTGTGTTGTACAATAGTTATCTAGTCCGACAAGTCAACTGTTGTATACGTTATTTACTCATACACGTCAAATGTCATACATCATCTGCTCGGACAAGTGTGTTGTACAATAGTTATCTAGTCCGACAAGTCAACTGCTGTATACGTTATTTACTCATAGACGTCAAATGTCATACATCATCTGCTCGGACAAGTGTGTTGTACAATAGGTATCTACTCCGACAAGTCAACTGCTGTATACGTTATTTACTCAGAGACGTCAAATGCCATACATCATCTTCTCGGACAAGTGTGTTCGTATAATAGTTATCTACACCTTTGATGTCCATCCGTAAATCACATGTAAAACAATAATTTCATGTCACGTGAGCAATAGTTGTAATTGAACAACTTCATTTGTACCCTTGATCACTGGGCCTTAACTACTGAATAAAACCTGTCTGACCTGTTTGGCCGTTTGGTTTGGCCGTATTGCAGACTAACAGACTATTCTGTTGGTACATGTTGACTGCAGTGTGGCTCATCTACTTGGATTGGGCGGTAGGGTAGCCTAGTGGTTAAAGTGTTCGCTCGTCACGCCAAAGAGTCGGGCTCGATTCCTCACATGGGTACAATGTGTGAAGCTCATTTCTGGTGTCCCCCGTGGTGATATTGTTGGAATATTGCTAAAAGTGGCGTAAAGACATACTCACTCACTCACCCTACTTTGATAACTTCACTGTTTTGTGTACATTCACTGATGATCTTGTACAGACTTTCTATAATCGGACAAGCCAAATGGTATATAGGCCATCACTCTAAAGGATATCTCTGATACTTGAGAATGTTATTGACTAAATCAAACTGTTTTCCAATATTTACGTGGATGGTAATCACAACGCACAAAATGTAAATTAAATTTTGTATGTCAGTTAATTTTAAAATGTCATAATGAGAGATTAAACTGGACTTAATGTGATGTTGTTACATCGCAAGGTGTTGACCTGGTGTGGATTGAAAACCTGTGAGTAATACATGCCCTACACGTCGCCAGTGTGTACTCCACGATAATTGGTATGTAATCCACGACCATTGGTATGTAATCCACGACCATTGGTATGTAATCCACGACCATTGGTATGTAATCCACGGCCATTGGTATGTAATCCACGACCACTGGTATGTAATCCACAACCACTGGTATGTAATCCACGACCATTGGTATGTAATACACCACCATTGGTATGTAATCCACGGTGATGGTAATGACGAACTAAACACCCTAACCGGATACATACAGACCAATTTTGAAAAGATTTAGTATCTTTGTGTGTGATAAATGCGCATGTGTTGTATGTTTGGATTTGGATGAAACATGATAGTCTGGTGTTCTGAAGACATAATGGCATTTCTGATTGTCCTGTCACAAGACACGTTCGTCCACGACGGTGGTGTTCCCATTTGTAAATGCTGTAACCACCGATTACAGTAGTCAATGTATTACACTTCTTCAGAACTGACTTAAAACGCCCACGGATTCTGTTCTGTGGATTTCTCATCTATACTTCTGGGGCGGTGGGGTGGCCGAGTGGTTAAATAAAGCTTTCGATCGTCACGCTGAAGACCTGGGTTCGATTCCCCACATGGGTACAATGTGTGAACCTATTTCTGAAATACCCGCCGTGATATTGCTGCAATAGTGCTAAAAGTGGTGTAAAGCCATATTCACTCACTCACTCACACCCCCATCCATTCTTCCACATGCAAAGTAGATTTAGGGTAAGCCGGACCATGCAGACACGATGTGGAATATCTGTTTACACATACATGTGCTATATGATACACTGATAAACATTTTAACAAGTCGTTTTTGTACTTCCACCACTGGAACATAAAGGGGTGCAGTCATTAACTGGTAACTGCAGCTGGGTGTGTGTGTGTGTGTGGGGGCACAATGTGTGAAGACCATTTCTAGTGTCCCCCACCGTGATGTTGCTGGAATATTGCTAAAAGCGGCGTAAAACCAAACTCACTCACTCAAAGTAAGGATACCATTTGTAGGTTTTCACACTCGTGTGTTTTGGGAATGGTTAATATCCTGCATTAGGAATGGACACCATGTATTTAGCTCGCATGAGAGTGAACAATATGTGTGTGATGTAGCACTGGTTTAACAGCGCGTCTGTGTTTACATATGTAGTGTTGAATTTCAAGCCATCAAAGCAAGTGATAGCATGAAATACAGATGATAGTAAATTCCAGTGTTGTTGTAATAGACCATATCGTGTGTCCTTGAGGACTGAGGCAAATAGGTCGGTCAATAACCTACCCAACGCTGAGGCCTTCAGGTTGTTTCCAAGCACGTGTTCGTTGTTTACTATAGTGTGTACACAAGTAGTGTACAGAGTGAACCTGTAGAGTCAGGTACAAGGTGTGCGATGAAAATGACATGATATTCCTATGGAGTTACTTGACTTGCATGATGTTTATTGTGTTCATGCCAACGTTATATAATATGCTTATGTGTTCACAATGTACCCCTGTTGACACAGTAGTGAGATGGTGATGTGACTGTTAACCTACAATGTACCCCTGTTGACACAGTAGTGAGATGGTGATGTGACTCTTAACCTACAATGTACCCCTGTTGACACAGTAGTGAGATGGTGATGTGACTGTTAACCTACAATGTACCCCTGTTGACACAGTAGTGAGATGGTGATGTGACTGTTAACCTACAATGTACCCCTGTTCACACAGTAGGTGTACCCTGAGATGGTGATGTGACTGTTAACCTACAATGTACCCTGTTCACACAGTAGTGAGATGGTGATGTGACTGTTAACCTACAATGTGATGTGACTGTTCACCTACAATGTACCCCCTGTGAGATGGATGGTGATGTGACTGTTAACCTACAATGTACCCTGTTGACACAGTAGTGAGATGGTGATGTGACTGTTAACCTACAATGTACCCCTGTTCACACAGTAGTGAGATGGTGATGTGATGTGACTGTTAACCTACAATGTACCCCTGTTCACACAGTAGTGAGATGGTGATGTGACTGTTAACCTACAATGTACCCCTGTTCACACAGTAGTGAGATGGTGAGATGATGAGATGGTGATGTGACTGTTAACCTACAATGTACCCCTGTTCACACTGTTAACCTACAATGTACCCCTGTTCACACAGTAGTGAGATGGTGATGTGACCCCCACAGTGTTAACCTAGTGAGATATGTGACCCCTGTTCACACAGTAGTGAGATGGTGATGTGACTGTTAACCTACAATAGTACCCCATAATGTACTGTTCACACAGTAGTGAGATGGTGATGTGACTGTTAACCTATAATGTACCCCTGTTGACACAGTAGTGAGATGGTGATGTGACTGTTAACCTACAATGCACCCCTGTTGACACAGTAGTGAGATGGTGATGTGACTGTTAACCTATAATGTACCCTTGTTCACACAGTAGTGAGATGGTGATGTGACTGTTAACCTACAATGTACCCCTGTTGACACAGTAGTGAGATGGTGATGTGACTGTTAACCTACAATGTACCCCTGTTCACAATGTACCCCTGTTCACACACTAGTGAGATGGTGATGTGACTGTTAACCTACAATGTACCCCTGTTGACACAGTAGTGAGATGGTGATGTGACTGTTAACCTACAATGTACCCCTGTTCACACACTAGTGAGATGGTGATGTGACTCTTTGTCCTACAATGTACCCCTGTTGACACAGTAGTGAGATGGTGATGTGACTGTTAACCTACAATGTACCCCTGTTCACACAGTAGTGAGATGGTGATGTGACTGTTAACCTACAATGTACCCCTGTTGACACAGTAGTGAGATGGTGATGTGACTGTTAACCTACAATGTACCCCTGTTCACACAGTAGTGAGATGGTGATGTGACTCTTAACCTACAATGTACCCCTGTTGACACAGTAGTGAGATGGTGATGTGACTCTTAACCTACAATGTACCCCTGTTCACACAGTTGTGAGATGGTGATGTAACTCTTAACCTACAATTTACCCCTGTTCACACAGTAGTGAGATGGTGATGTGACTGTTAACCTACAATATACCCCTTTTCACACAGTAGTGTGATGGTGATGTGACTGTTTACCTACAATGTACCCCTGTTCAAACAGTAGTGAGATGGTGATGTGACTGTTAACCTACTTGCGATTGACAGGCAGTCAGGGTTATGTACTCCTGGGTTGATTGTTCTCAAGGAATATCATATATTCAGAAAAACGTTCTCGAAACAATACGGCCTTGACCCAGCGTGGTATTACTCCAGCCCGGGTCTCTCTTGGGATTCCTTGTTATGGGAGAATATCGTTATGCCACGACCTACTGCTGTAACTCGAAACATTTCCATTTGACGTCTGGAGACAGGGGAGTTTCAATCTGCCGTTGCACGTCAGCTCAATGTTCACCAGAGTACCATCTTCACGCAAGATCGGCCTAGTAGATCTCGGACCACCACTACAGCGAAGGACAGGTGCATCCATGCACTTCATTTGCAGAATCGAAATGTCCCAGCAACGGCAACTGCAAGTTTGCGAGAAGCTGGACCCTGTTTTGGGCCTGTGCTGTGACGACTACATCGACGTCGACGGGTCCAGTGTTGCAATAATGTTCGATTCTGGAATATACAAAACTGGCGACGTGCACGGTTCAGTGACGAATAACGCTTTCTGCTTCAGTGCTGTGATGGAAGAGTCTCCTAGGCTGACCGATATGGTGGTGAGGGGTGTAATGATATGGGTAGCCGTATCCCACACTTGAACTTGATACGCCTTCAGGGCAATTGAACTGCTATTCGGTACACATACGAAATTTTAAAGTTTCAGATGGTTTCGATCACTGAGCGCCAGAGGGAGCGCCAGATAACGCCAGGCCCCACACAACACATGCCACTATTCAGTATCTTCAGCATGAAAACATTGCAGTGCTTTCATGGCCTTCCAAATCGCCCGACCTCAACCCCATTTAGCAATGACCTCGGCCGATGCGTACGTGAACGTCACCCAAGGCCCCAGACATTAGATCACACGACGCAGGTATTGCAAGAGTAATGGGCTAGAATTTCACAAGGTCGAATTTATAGATTTATACAGACCACGCCAAGACGATGCAGAGCAGGGTTTGGGGTTCATTGTGGCCACAACAACTAATGAAGACAACTGGGAACGGACGCCTTTACTTATTGAACTGTTTATAAGCTATGCATGTGAACAGATATTTGATCTTTCATGTAAAACATCTCAGCTGAAAAGTCTCTCAGCTGATTGTCATTGTATTACCAAGTTAACTGGCGCCCTAGCCTCAAATGAACCTCGGTAATGATACATAGATGTGTTATTGTTTACATGTACATAAGATGACTACCTTAATGTCTCCGAACCCAACACAAATTTGTGTTTCAAAATGTCATGGTAATATATAGCGAGAATACAAAGTTAGTCGCCAGCCTATTTCAAAACTAAGATGTAAAGCTGTGGAAATGTTAGGCTAAAATAATTGGGAAGACCAATCCATAGTTACAGAAGGTTCATCTGGTAACCGATATAGAGATATCATATCATTTGTATTTACAATTAAAGGAAATATTATTAAAGATATGACGGCACTGCTTTTTATAGCAAAATAACTATTCCTATTCTGCTCATACAACTCTATTACACTTAGGTTTCACTTGTCAAAAATGACAATCATATGACCATATAACAGTCATTTCTGATTTTCACTTTTCAAAAGAAGGTAACCTTTTTGATGAAAACAAATACATATTTTTTCAAAAGCGTATACATCCCGTTTAAAGTAAAAGATACTTTCCATAATGGTTTTGGTTTTTAGACAAAAAGTACTAAACCAAATTATGATAGTTGTTTTGTTTTTTCTGAGACAACCTATATTGGCAAAATAAACTGGGTGGCGCTTAACTTTGTATTCACAGTATATCTACAAAGGCTGTACACAATATACCTAGAGTTAGTGAGTGAATATTGCTTTAAGCCGCATCAGCAATGTTGCATCTATTCGCGGCGAAATATACCTTGAATGGTAACAGTAATGACGTCGGCGATAATACTACTACTAATAAAATGCCATAATTTTCTAAAGCAAGAGCCAGGTTGCCACCTGAACAATTGCCATTCAGATTTCATCAAAATCGAAATTTCAAAACTACTTCAAGGTTAAAAGTCAGAATAATATACCAAGAAAGCATTGACTTTCCATCATCTAAAGTTAATTGACAAACCTACATTCAAATTCTGGGTGGAAATTGTCCTCACAATTATAGTAAAATAACTGGGGGGCAGTTGTCCGGGGTGGCAATTGTCCTCACAATTGTAGAAAAATAACTGGGTGGCAGTTGTCCTGGGTGGCAATTGTCCTCACAATTATAGAAAAATAACTGGGTGGCAGTTGTCCTGGGTGGCAGTTATCCTAGAGGCCAATTGTCCTAGGTGGCAACTGTCCTGCTCCCGTTGTAATATAATAGAGGCCCATTCATCTACATATCTCAAAGATTCCAAAATTTTCTTTTCCAATTTAGATAACTCTATACAGAAGACACCCCAGAGTACTCTTGAATCCTTCTCAAACTATATGCATACACTACTGTCCTCTACATAACCTTCTTAAAATTATCTATTATAATATGCAACATTGATAATGAAATGAAGTGCTATATAACACACGTTTGGCTTGTACTATCTTGGATATTTGCTTCATATATCCCAAATAAAGGAACTATGATCAACTGGAAACATACACTGTCAAGTAATGAAGGGAGATATATACCTGAATGTATTCCATTCTTTCAGAATGGGGACAGGAGCAAAATTCGCGCTTGCGACTTTGTTGGCGGTGTTACATATTGCAAGGACTCAGAAAGTGTCAACTCTAAATGGACCACTTCTTGGACAACGACTGTCAGTGTTGGGCAAGTCCATTGACGTATTCTATGGAATTCCATATGCCAAGCCTCCTGTAGGCGATCTCCGCTTCAAATATCCACAGCCTTCAGAGTCATGGGGGCCGGAAGTTTGGGATGCACAAAAACCGTCGTCATCTTGCTTCCAAATTAAAGATGCTCTTGACACAGATGAGACTCACAAACAGATACCCGACGATTACAGTGAAGACTGCCTTCATCTTTCAGTGTGGGCTCCGTCAGACAATGTTGGCAATCTGGCAGTGATGGTCTGGATCTATGGTGGAGGTTTTTATAGTGGATCTACACGAATGCCACTGTATGAAGGAAAATACCTTGCAGCAGAGAATGACGTCATCGTTGTTTCAATGAATTACAGATTGGGGCCTCTAGGGTTCAGCTACCTTGGACCAGACACCATCCCTGGCAATATGGGCTTGATGGATCAACGACTGGCCTTACAGTGGGTGAAAGACAATATTGCCAACTTTGGTGGAGATCCAACCCGAGTGACCATTTTTGGAGAAAGTGCTGGTGGTGTCAGCGTGAGTGACCACCTGGTGTCACCTCTGTCACGTGACCTGTTTGACAGAGCCATCATGCAGAGTGGGACCCTCACTTGCCCATGGGCATACACGGTGCCCAAAACAGCAAAATTAGCAATACAGAAGTTTGCTGATCATCTTGAATGTCCTTCATCTTCAACTGATGCAGACATCCATGAGTGCTTGAAAACAGCAGATGCACAAGATATGGCAGACCTTCAGCGCGTTTTGTTTGATGAAGGTCTTGCATTTGTTCCAGTAGTGGATGGGTACTTCCTTCCTGATGACCCCAAAAGTCTTCTGTCCAGCGGATCCATCAAGCAGACCAGTGTATTGCATGGGTTCACAGGAGACGAGATTACACTATTTTTGGCAATGGCTTTGAAGCAGATGAGAAACGTGTCCACATTACATGAAACGCTTATTTTAAGTCAACCAGAATATGAAAGTCTTCTTACCTTTGACTCTGTTACTGGTAGAGAATTTGTAGAGCCTCTTCGCCTGTTTTATGAAAGTCAAACATCCCCTCTAAGGGACACTCACCATTTGGATGTAGTGACACGCATGATTTCAGATAGGGATATCAAGTGTCCTCATCTTGAGTTTGACAGATTGTACTCTCCTGCCAACCCTACCTACGTCTACAGTTTTAATCATCGACTGTCAATTAGTCCGAATCCAAAGTGGATGGGAGCAGCCCACTGGTACGAGCTTGACTTTGTGTTTGGTTGGGTTCTGGAAAAGTCTCTGGGATATACAGAGGAGGAGATGGAACTCAGCAGGACCATCATGACGTACTGGACCAACTTTGCCAAGTCAGGGTGAGTGAATGAATGAGCCAGTGAAATACAATTTTAATGACACAAACTTTTACTGATTCACCCTTTAAAAATAATCTTTTGTCAGATAATCAAGATTTCTTGAAGTTTTCTTATCTGTATCCAGCGATCCGAACGCTCCTGTTCCCGTCAAGGTGAACTGGCCAGCCTCTTACAACACTGATCTCTCCTACATGGCCCTTGACGTGGGCAGCAAATTAGCAGCAGGACACGGGGTAGTCCACCACGAATGTGTCTTCATCAACAGGATTCTACCCATGATTTCTAAAGGTAAATTAATAATGGATCATCGGTTGTTGGTACACATAAATGAATGGTTTTAGAAGTGACCTGGATACTTCTTTTGTTAGGGTAAATATTTACGATGATAGATAATGTTTTTGTGGTTATTGTTTCAATTTACACACAGTCGAATGAAGAAGAGATTCGTTTGAATTGGTAGTTGTTGATTCCCATGCTGAAACTATATAGTTAACCATGAATCAGTCTGTACGAGAATTATGTTTGAAACCAAGAACCAAAAAGGAAATATGATGTAATTAAAAATTGTATTTTAAAATTCTTAAGTCGCAAATCAATACAAATCAATAGAATGATTTCACTGTTCCCAGTGATAGTTCATATCGATATGTTCATGCCGATGTTGACGCTGATGTTCTTAATTAAAATACAGTCATCTCAGATTGTCCACGACTTCGAGACACCAGAAACATATGATCGCCAGTTGGAATCCAAACTATTATGCTTGCAACAAACGTCTAAGACATGCATTTCTTTTGGTTCTGATTGAACTGAAATACTGTCCAAAGCAGCGTTTGGTACAGCTCACTCCCCTATTAACTAGCATTGGTGGAGAAAGAGATGGTTCAATGCTAACATCACCATTGATTTATTAGCGAGTGACAAAGGGGTTTCTCTGTGCATGAATGATACTGAAGTGCATCAAGGGAAATAGAGAATTCATGGTTGTGTTTCAGACTCACCAGAAGGGCAGGAGTACTGCACAAGAGGATGATAGGACAGCATCATACTAATCTGTCCCAAGTTGAAATACAGATACATCATAATGTTTTTAACGCCCTTTTGAACTGTATGTGAAGTCCCTTTTTGTACGGCTTAATCACATTCACTTCCAAAATCAACCACAGACACCTGTCAACGACTTCGTGGAATAATTATGTTGTTCGTCGTGGTTTCATGTCAAATTTGTTTTAGCATACTGTGTCCTGCAAGTCAGTTAGTGCGTGTGTGTAGTAGCTGCATTGTAAGCTAAACAGTTTGTTTCATTTTTGCCCTGCTGGGTTAAATTATGTATGCAATATCTACATTGACTAGAAAACTGGCATTTACGCTACATACTTGATAGTCAACTGATACAGTTGTTATCTGCGTCATTGACTCGGGGAAGCCAAGTGGTCTACATAGATGCATTAGTTTCACAAGAACATGGAAACAAAAACACATGCTCGCATTGCATTTGACAACCTTGTTCTCACCAAGAACATATGGGTCATATGAGACGATGAAAGGGATCGGGTGATCAGGCCCGCTGATGCATGTCAATGTATCCCATTGACGTAGACACATGCTCATGATGTTGATCACTGGATGACAGGTCCAGGCACGATTACTTACATGGAAAAGTGTAAAGAAACAAACAAAACCACTGTCCAAGTGCTTGTAAGGTCGGAGGCGATCTATGACAAACGATGAGGTCAATTTAGTTTAGAAATATAACAGTGAACGATTGAGTTAGGTTTAAAGTTAATGATTTCAGTTGCCTTGATGTGGTTTGAAAGCTGTAAGCATTGCAGGTGTCGGTAGTTTACACGTGAGGTGAAAACAACGGATATGGTGACGATAAACCAAGAAACACAGCCGTACAACGCATAATACTGTTTTAAGACGAAGTAGATAATCAATAAACAGCTAGTATAGTTTTACGCCGCTTTTAGCAATATTTCAGCAATAACGGATTCAATAAACAGGTATCACAAGTATTTATATTTTACATCTTTAAGAGAAATGTAAAAGGGACATCTGACAGAGATTTGCATTAGTCGTTGAACGTCAGATGACCGCAGACTTTGCTAGAGGATTGACCAAAGCGACCTATTGTCCATCACGATATTTATCATAAAAAATCCAAATCATGAATATCGTTCGAATCTGCTTCTATTCTCAAGACAATCTCGGATTCGACGAGGCATACTTCTCGTCAAACATCCAATGTCAACTTGGTTCATTCCATCCCATTCTTCCTGCAGCGCTTCGTCAAGTGTATTAAGAGTGGTGTGTGGTTGTTGACGGTGACGCACGCTCCGTCAAAGGATATCCCCGACATGTTCGATGGGTGACAAGTCATAAATAGTCAAAATCACTAACATCGCCGGAATCAGGCTCTAGATTCAAGAAAACCACGGATTCGACGAGACATACTCCTAATCCACGTACAACAAGTAACAAGTTTATTTGCGTTTGGAGCCACGTGATCCATATTGCTTAAACATACTGCAAACAGTGCGCATTTCAAGATTTCAAGAGTTTTGTGTTTGTGGATGCTAGCAGTTGATACATTTTTTAAGCAGACGGATTATTATGATACTATTCATAAAGAAAAACTATTGTCTGCTTGTCTGAAAAAGTGAACTTCGTCTTCGATACAGCTTAGAAGACACTTTGTAGATAAAAATACATTGAGGTTATCATAACATATCATTTTAGCTAACTAAGCTTTAAATTTATGAGATGCACAGCGAAATTTACAATATACCATCAGCAAGTCATTTTCGGGAAACGAAAATTCAAAACAGATTTAAAACAACTGTAATACGTTTAGAAAGGACGACCATGAGGTCTTGCAATGCCAGTGAAAAAAAATTCATGAAAACATTAATACTACCACAATCGTGAGTCATCAACACGTAGGAAAAGCCAGTTATTATTATTATCATGTTTTACAGATTAAAGATAGTATGCAGCAGAGAGGGGTTCGGGTGATCCTGGCACAGTCAGGCTGGTAAGGCTCATCATCAGCTCAGGGCCCTTGCCCCCTCTACACGCAGCCCAGACAGCGAATGGGACTTCTCCCAGGAAATGCTGCCTAGTCGAACCCACCAATAACTTTCCGGAGAAAATGAAGGCTCCCCAACACTGCAGCCTTCTGCATTACCCAGAGTGTCAGAAGGGCTGTACTCCTGGTGGAGAACTCGGGCACTCTCCTGATCTGCGCCAAGAGATCAGGAGGTACCAAACCAAGGGCACCGAGAACAATGGGGAGCCTGGCGACAGTGTACCTGGGATGCAAGCGAGACATTTCAAAGGCGAGGTCCGCATACTTAGTATGCTTTTCCTGAATCTTGCCAATCACATTGGTGTCAAAAGGGACAGAAAATTCAATGATATATATAAATTCATTGGCTTTATCAAAGAGGACAAGATCAGGTTTGTTGGCTGGAATTCTCCTCAGGCTGTATATGGGCCTATTCCAGAGAAGTTTGAAAGCATCATTTTCCATGACGCCCTGGACATGTTCAGGGTCGTACCATTGATGGACCTCGGGGGCAAAGCCAAAGGCATGTAAGTGCACAGGGTTGTGAACTGTAGACAAACTTATTCAAGAAATCTAAAAAACCAGACCATATAATGGAAACTGCGAGAAAAATAGTAAAAGTAACAATAAAAGTGTCGGCATTTCGAAAGACCGTTGAAATAGCGGAGTATTGCCGAAATTATGAGTATTTTAAGATAAAGTTAAAATAATGTGAAATTAATCAAAATGAGCAAAATATAACCGAACTAGCGTGCTAAAATTTTCGAACTTTCGGGATTTTTGTTTTTGAAATAACGAGAAATTCGGCTTAAAAAAACTGTTTTAGCACCATTAGGATTTTATACCATTCCATTGATCTACCGTCAGTCATGACGTGCAGGCAACACTAATTCGCACAGCACGTGAACGGAATTTTTATGGTAGCATTTTAAACAAACGCGCTGTTTTTGAAATCAGAGTAGTTAGTGGTAAAACTAGTAAAAAAGACAGCCTACCCTTTTGTCGGTTTTTTTTCTACCTAGTGCCTTCTAACTGGAGCGGGGCGGTGGGGTAGCCTAATGGTTAAAGCGTTGGCTCGTCACGCCGAAGACCCGGGTTCGAATCCCCACATGGGCACAATGTGTGAAGCCCATTTCTGGTGTCCCCCGCCGTGATGTTGCTGGAATATTGCTAAAAGCGGCGTAAAACCAAACTCAGTCAGTCAGTCTAACTGGAGCACGAAGATGTTTAATTCTCGAAGCTCGCTAACCCATCATTGATAGATCATGTTTTGTACATATATAAATTGTTTAAAGTTTTTTTCAGTAACATCAACGTCTCATTAAACTTCATGAAGTTCAAACTTCAAACTGCAAAGACTCAAATGAACTGTCAACGAATATTTCCTGACGGTATGTGCACGACAGTTTCAATCAACTTATACTGCACTCATGTCACCCAGTCTCCTTGACCGGCAACTCAAGTTTGACATGTGGCTGGCTGGTTGGGTTGTTGTTTAACGCCGCACTCGGCAGTATTTCCAGTTATACACTGGCTGTCTGAAATAATCGAGTCTGGACCAGACAATCTAATGATCAATACGATGAGCATCGATCTACGCAATTGAGATACGATGACATGTGTCAACCAAGTCAGCGAACCTGACCACCCGATCCCGTTAGTCGCATCTTACAACCAGCATGGGTTTCTGAAGATCAATTCCACATCGGGAAGGTTCGCAATGAACAAACAATAGATAACGTGAAACTATCTTATTGAGAATACCTTGGAGTGGAGCAATGAGATAAAAACGTATTAGAAAATTCAGAAGCAAACACACAAATGTATACTAAAACTGTAAATTGGTGGTGAGAGGGTATTAAGCGAGTGAGTATGATTTTACGCCGCTTTCAGCAATATTCCAGAAATATCACGGCGGGGGATACCAGAAATAGACATCACACATTGTGCCCATGTGGGGAATCGAACCCGGGTCTTCAGCGTGACGAGCTGACGCTTTAACCATCAGGCTACCCCCACCGCCCCAAAGAGGGGCGAGAGGGTATGTTAACATTCGAAACAAGATGTAAACTGACGAGCAAAAGAAACTTACCACCGACTTCACTGTGAGATTTATGAAAATCATTTTGCAAACAGAAATCATTTATCAATGATTTGATCGAAACCACAGGGATGCACGTGGCTCCCGGCGTACATGGAGTTTATCTGTCACAGTCAGGTTACTTCAAGCATAGTGTGGGTTCAAAATTCATTTTGCATATTCCATGATCAATGAAAATAAAATGATGCATTTCTAAAGTAAACTACCGGGCACAAGACTTCACTTCACAAAAAATAGAAACAAAGACGTAAGTAAGATTTAAGATTATTATTTTACAAACAGCAATCAGTTTCCAATAATTCACTGAAATTTCATTTTAATGCTGGCTTGCATAAGCCACAATTCATTAAGAAAGTGTCAATGGTTCGAAATTACAAATTACACAAATCAGAGTTCATTCAAAAAGTGCAAAAAGAGTCAAATAGTGAGAGTCTGGGGACACGTTATCAACAGCGAGTGTGATCACCCTGGCCATCCATACACGTCAACACACGTTATCAATAGTGAGTGTAATCACCCTGGACATCCATACACGCTAACACACGTCATCAACAGCGAGTGTGATCACCCTGGACATCCATACACGCCAACACACGTTATCAATAGCGAGTGTGATCACCCTGGACATCCATACACGCCAACACACGTTATCAATAGCGAGTGTGACCATCCTGGACATCCATACACGCCAACACACGTCATCAATAGGCGTGATCACCCTGGACATCCATACACTCCAACACACGTCATCAATAGCGAGTGTGACCACCCTGGACATCCATACACGCCAACACAGGTCATCAATAGCGAGTGTGATCACCCTGGGCATCCATACACGCCAACACACGTCATCAATAGCGAGTGTGATCACCCTGTACATCCATACACGCCAACACACGTCATCAGTAGCGAGTGTGATCACCCTGGACATCCATACACGCCAACACACGTCATCAATAGCGAGTGTGATCACCCTGGACATCCATACACGCCAACACACGTCATCAGTAGCGAGTGTGATCACCCTGGACATCCATACACGCCAACACACGTCATCAGTAGCGAGTGTGATCACCCTGTACATCCATACACGCCAACACACGTCATCAGTACATCCATATCCATACACGCCAACACAGGTCATCAATAGCGAGTGTGATCACCCTGGACATCCATACACGCCAACACAGGTCATCAATAGCGAGTGTGATCACCCTGGACATCCATACACGCCAACACAGGTCATCAATAGCGAGTGTGATCACCCTGGACATCCATACACGCCAACACACGTCATCAATAGCGAGTGTGACCACCCTGGACATCCATACACGCCAACACACGTCATCAATAGCGAGTGTGACCACCCTGGACATCCATACACGCCAACACAGGTCATCAATAGCGAGTGTGATCACCCTGGGCATCCATACACGCCAACACAGGTCATCAATAGCGAGTGTGATCACCCTGGACATCCATACACGCCAACACACGTCATCAATAGCGAGTGTGATCACCCTGGACATCCATACACACCAGCACACGTCATCAATAGCATCCATACACGCCAACACACGTCATCAATAGCGAGTGTGACCACCCTGGACATCCATACACGCCAACACACGTCATCAGTAGCGAGCTGTGATCACCCTGGACATCCATACACGCCAACACACGTTATCAATAGCGAGTGTGATCACCCTGGAGATCCATACACGCCAACACACGTCATCAGTGGCGAGTGTGATCACCCTGTACATCCATACACGCCAACACACGTTATCAGTAGCGAGTGTGATCACTCTGGACATCCATACACGCCAACACACGTCATCAATAGCGAGTGTGATCACCCTGGACATCCATACACGCCAACACACGTTATCAATAGCGAGTGTGATCACCCTGGGCATCCATACACGCCAACACACGTCATCAATAGCGAGTGTGATCACCCTGGACATCCATACACGCCAACACACGTTATCAATAGCGAGTGTGACCACCCTGGACATCCATACACGCCAGCACACGTTATCAATAGCGAGTGTGGTCACCCTGGACATCCATACACGCCAGCACACTTCATGAGTAGCGAGTGTGATCACCCTGGACATCCATACACGCCAACACACGTTATCAGTAGCGAGTGTGATCACCCTGGACATCCATACACGCCAACACACGTTATCAATAGCTAGTGTGATCACCCTCGACATCCATACACGCCAGCACACGCTATCAATAGCGAGTGTGATCACCCTGGGCATTCATACACGCCAACACACGTCATCAGTAGCGAGTGTGATCACCTTTGACATCCATACACGCCAGCACACGTTATCAATAGCGAGTGTGATCACCCTGGGCATTCATACACGCCAACACACGTCATCAATAGCGAGTGTGATCACCCTGGACATCCATACACGCCAGCACACGTCATCAGTAGCGAGTGTGATCACCCTGGACATCCATACACGCCAACACACGTCATCAATAGCGGGTTTGATCACCCTGGACATCCATACATGCCAAGAAAAGGGCATCAGAAGCGAGTGTGATCACTCTGGACATCCATACACGCCAACACACGTTATCAATAGCGAGTGTGACCACCCTGGACATCCATAAACGCCAGGGTGATCACACTCGCTATTGATAACATGTGTTGTGTTATGTTTACCACTCATCAAACTCCACCTATACTTTCTTTTGCCGTTTAGTTTAGTAACAAGAACATCACTGCCCCAAACTGAATCTTAACAGAAACAAGGTAATGCAATTACAACATTGATTTACACTGAATTAGACAGACATAACATTGCTTAACTTGTACAATCTGAGGTATTAGTCCGTGTAAAGGAATAATGACCAGCCGGCAATATGACTTAGGAAGTGACCAAGAAATAAATTACATTGCCAAAGGGTAACCTGTAAAATCGCTTCGTTCTTTCAGAATGTGGACAAGAAAGAGACTGGCGATACTGGCCTTGTTGTCACTGTTACCCATTGCTAAGGCTCAAAAAGTCTCAACTCTAAATGGCCCACTGTTAGGACAACGACTGTCAGTGTTGGGCAAGTCCATTGACGTATTCTATGGAATCCCATACGCCAAGCCTCCTGTAGGCGACCTCCGCTTCAAATATCCACAACGTTCAGAGTCATGGGGACCGGAGATGACACAGTTGAGAAGCACAAACAGATACCCGACGATTACAGTGAAGACTGCCTTCATCTTTCAGTGTGGGCTCCGTCAGACAATGGCGGCAATCTAGCAGTGATGGTCTGGATCTATGGTGGAGGTTTGTTAGTGGATCTACACGAATGCCACTATATGAAGGAAAATACCTTGCAGCAGAGAATGACGTCATCGTTGTTTCAATGCATTACAGATTGGGGCCTTTAGGGTTCAGCTATCTTGGCCCAGATACCATCCCTGGCAACATGGGCTTGATGGATCAACGACTGGCCTTACAGTTGGTGAAAGACAATATTGCCAACTTTGGTGGAGATCCAACCCGAGTTACCATATTTGGAGAAAGTGCTGGAAGCGTCAGCGTGAGTGACCACCTGGTGTCACCTCTGTCACGTGACCTGTTTAACAGAGCCATCATGTAGAGTGGGACCCTCACTTGCCCATGGGCATACACGGTGCCCAAAACAGCAAAACGGAGACTAAAGAGACTTGCTGATCTCCTTGAATGTCCTTCATCTTCGACAGATGCAGACATATATGAGTGCTTGAAGACAGCAGATTCTCGTACGATGTCAGACCTTCAACTTAGTGGCTTGTTTGATGAAGGACTTGCATTTGTTCCAGTTGTGGATGGGTACTTCCTTCCTGATCAAGCAGACCAGTGTATTGCACGGTTTTACTGGAGATGAGATTACACTGTTTTTGGCAATGGCGTTGAAGCAGATGAGAAAAGTGTCCACATTACCTGAAACACTGATTTTAAGTCAGCCAGAATATGAAAGTCTTCTTTCTTTTGACTTTGTTGTATTGTTTTAATCACCGACTATCAGTTAGGATTGGATGAGTGATATAGTGTGCGTCCCTAGTGAGATTCGATTGATTGATTAAATGAGTCCGAAAACCTCATTCATCATGTCGTCTCGTACGTCAGACAGGTCCTCAGAGGGGGTGTGGGTGTGGGGGTCAACACGCACGCACGCACGCACGCACGCACACACACACACACACCTTGAAAATTTCTGGATCCGCCAACGGGAACTGTTGTTGAATATTCAGTGAAATTATTGTTTTCTCTGGCCATTGATTTGATATCATGTCTGGCAGTCAGGCAGTAAGTCTACATTTGTATAGATGTGTATTAGACACCTAGCAGGAGCAGATGGTCTGTGGTGCACTTATCTGATGGTGATGTTCTAGAAACGTGGGGTCGACTTCCTGTTCTCCAGGACTACACGTCAACACCACACCTGTGGATTTCACCAGAGTGTAGTACCTCCCAGATTTGTATCACGTCGTGGTATAACTGAAGTGTTAATCTAACTCACCTAACTCATACTGTTATGGTTGTATGTTAAAGTGGAGTTGACTGTGGATGTACCGGCCGGTGGATGGATCCTGGTGAATATCCAGGAGTGTGGTTTCTACAGAGTCAGCTACGACACCAACAACTGGAACAACATCATCAACACCTTGTCAACAAACCATGCGGTAACATGACATATAGTGAGGATATCTTAGCCGGATGTTTTCATATGTTTAATGTCATATTGGAATATTAAAATTACTAACACTTATTGAGATTCATTCACAAATGTTTTTAAACTCGTGTAGGAATTAGAGAGAATCGTCCTTTCGACTGCAATGCTCGGAATGAAGTGTAGCAATATTCATTTACCTGTACATCAGCAGATCGGGGTTCTTCTATCTACGCGTATTTAGGGAAAGTTAAGCATAACTGTTTGAACAAGTTGGTGTCCGTGCAAGATGACTTCTTTCTCATCTTTATTGACCAGTGAAATCAGTGGGATAGATAACATTGTGATTCATGCCATACATTTGTGTGTCTGTATAATGGATACGATGCATTTCTGTAGATCGACATTCACTCACTCACTCACCCACTCACCCACTCACCCACTCACTCACTCACTCGTGTACGTGTAGAAAGTTAGCATATCAGCCAATCAGATTCTTTGCACGTGTTTTGCCTCTCATGTCGTGACTGATTGGTGTGTTGTAATGTTAACGCCATAAGTGTAGTATTGTTTTTATTGAACAGGCAAAGGCATCACTAATTCTTCCTCAAGTCTGTTTAGAGAATCAAATATAAATCATGTTGATATCTACTATCACACAGTTGTATTTTATTATTTTTTTTTCAGATAATAGACCCAATAAATCGAGCGCAGATTATCAATGACGCTTGGAACTTAGCCCAGTAGGTTGGAATATTTACTTATACCTTACATGTACTCGTTGACGTCATTTAGAAGGTGCAGCAAGCCTTTACCGTGGTATATCATATCATTTCACTGATAAGGACTTTGGTCCTGTTTAACCCCCATCAGCATGAAGAAAGTTGTTTACAGTTTAAGTAACAGAGATGATCCTACCTGGTACCCTTTGTACAGCATGGACAAGTGAATACACAATACCATTAGGAAGTGGTCAGATGTATCATACGTTAATGTAGGATTACACTTTCTTGGTAAAGCACAGATTGTAATACTTCTGTGAGGTTCAGTCATCTCCGGGATTCGAACCCAAACTCTCAGAATCAGGCACCTAATCGCCATCACACAAAGTCAGCGATCTAACCCACTCAGCCACCTCTACTCAGAAGGTGTAATCTGAATATAACATGTTACATTTCACCACATTCAAATTACCAATGTATTCAAACACTTCCATTTGTGTAAAAGCTGCGATTGCTTAGTGAGTTAGATTGGTGCCTTATGTGCTTGCAACTGTCAGCAGTCACTATTACTGGACATCGTCACATATTCACCTTGTCTCCGTATGTCATTTGGCCTATTGATCAACGGGCGTGGCCTAGTGGTTAACGCGTTCGCTCATCACGCCAAAGACCCGGGTTCGATTCCCCACATGGGTACAATGTGTGAAGCCCATTTCTGGTGTCCCCTGCCGTGATATTGTTGGAATATTGCTAAAATTGTCGTAAAACTAAAGTCACTCACTCACTATTGGTATTTACTTGCACAATGTTACATGTTCCTCCAGAGCAGGGATGTTGGACCAGGACGTTGCACTCCGGGCTGTCAACTACCTGAGCAGCGACCTGGATTACGCCCCTTGGAGAGCCTTCCGCCGGGAACTGGGCTACGTGGACGACATGTTGGAGCGTACGCCACTCTACGGAATGTTTGAGGTGATAGATGGAGTCAGTTAAGATAAAATACTTAAGAAAACTGCCATGAAGGGATTAACCAGCGTCCGACGATTCTTAACACTTTAGCTTAGGACTTCAGGATTAATACGAAGATTAATTCTCTTGCGGTCAGTGGTTATAATAGTCCACCTGAAACGCGCTGAATCCATGCACAATGCATGCTCTACGCACACATGTCCGAGAGGAGATGAGGAGAGAAGCCACACAAAGAAGGCAAGACCGAACAGGAATGTTTTGAGCTGGGCCTTAAACAGACTTTAGTGCATGAGTATGCATTGTTTAAAGTTGAAACACTTCTTGATAATGATTCGTTGCTCATGACTTCACCCACTGGTCTGCCTGTTCACAATCAGTTATGTACTGACCGACGCTACATATAGCAGGAAAAACGCTGACTGCGCGTTTTGATGCTTCCACACACTCAAGCGCCCCATTGAGGTGAACGAAACGTATAAGTTCCACGTTTTCAGATATTGTCATGTACGTAGGAAATATTTTCATTAGAAATGTCAATGTACGTGCTCTAGTTCAGTGTTTTCACTTTCTGGTTTTGAAAGTTACGCAATACAACCGGGTGGCACCGTGCTGTAAAACTATCATTACATTTTAGGACTTCATGAAGAAGACCGTCGACATCCCCTTCACAACACTTGGTACCAACATCACCGAGGATATGACGCCTATCGAAAAGTACGTGTGAAGATTATAAATGTTATCAAGGCAACACATATCAATCTCTATATATACATATATATACTAACGTAATAATCCGAAAAACCGGATTCATCTTAAATGTTAAAATTTAAGGTTTATGAAAACGTTGGTCTCACAATAATTAGAAGATAAAGCTTCTCTGTTTTCAATTTTGCGGTCCTTTATCGTTGATTTAAGACCGCTATATGTAATTTAAAAACCGAACACCAAAGATGCTGCCAGATAGAAATTGCCGATGTCCGACATGTTTGTTTACAAACAAGAGGGTCAATGAGTTCGTTGTATTCATATGCGGTGAATCGGTCACTTTAACTAGCGGTCTTAAACTGCCATTTAAGTACGGTTTTGATGAGCTCTCAGCCAATCAGAATCGGTAATCACACATTGTCGCGCTAGAATGATCATTCGAGCATTACAAGTGAAAGATGTCCGAAACGTTACGTGTTTGTTGAAATGATAAACCTCCAATTTCTGTTCATGAACATGTTAATTCTATAATGGTTGGCAAAGACGTCCTCCAAAAGAGCCTTTACACCTTTACACCTTTGCACCTATTCGTAGGATTGACATAGCGCAGATGGCGTCAGTGGCGTGTAATTACGACTACAGCGACTGTGTGGATACATCAGTGAGACTGTTCTCCATCTGGATGGAAGATGGAACTAACAATCAGTAAGTTGCATGTTAATCTACACGAGGGTTGTACGCTAACAATCAGTAAGTTGCATGTTAATCTACATGAGGGTTGTACACTAACAATCAGTAAGTTGCATGTTAATCTACATGAGGGTTGTACACTAACAATCAGTAAGTTGCATGTTAATCTACATGAGGGTTGTACACTAACAATCAGTAAGTTGCATGTTAATCTACATGAGGGTTGTACGCTAACAATCAGTAAGTTGCATGTTAATCTACACGAGGGTTGTACACTAACAATCAGTAAGTTGCATGTTAATCTACATGAGGGTTGTACGCTAACAATCAGTAAGTTGCATGTTAATCTACACGAGGGTTGTACGCTAACAATCAGTAAGTTGCATGTTAATCTACATGAGGGTTGTACACTAACAATCAGTAGGTGCATTTAATCTACATGAGGGTTGTACACTAACAATCAGTAAGTTGCATGTTAATCTACATGAGGGTTGTACACTAACAATCAGTAAGTTGCATGTTAATCTACACGAGGGTTGTACACTAACAATCAGTATTGCATGTTAATCTACACGAGGGTTGTACACTAACAATCAGTAAGTTGCATGTTAATCTACACGAGGGTTGTACGAGGGTTTAATCTACACGAGGGTTGTACACTAACAATCAGTAAGTTGCATGTTAATCTACATGAGGGTTGTACACTAACAATCAGTAAGTTGCATGTTAATCTACATGAGGGTTGTACGCTAACAATCAGTAAGTTGCATGTTAATCTACATGAGGGTTGTACACGAACAATCAGTAAGTTGCATGTTAATCTACATGAGGGTTGTACACTAACAATCAGTAAGTTGCATGTTTATCTACACGAGGGTTGTACGCTAACAATCAGTAAGTTGCATGTTAATCTACACGAGGGTTGTACGCTAACAATCAGTAAGTTGCATGTTAATCTACATGAGGGTTGTACACGATTACATCTGTTCTCAGAGGTGGGGGTGTATGTTACGATGAATAATATTGCTTGTATGGATTCCGGGGCTAATTCATATTTCTAATGACGACCGCTCGCCAAGATAGCAATACATACCACCTTGTGACGTCTTTTTATATGACGACGACAAGGGATCGAACCGTTGACATTCCATTCAGACGCTCTATCCAGATTACACGGGGCGTGGAAGACGTGAAATATATAGTCGTTAAATATATGCAGTAATTTCCATGTTGAACGGCACAGGAAACGTATTATCCATATCTGACGTGATTGAGAGATTCCGACATTATTCTGCTATTGGCACAAGACATACATGTGTAACAGTGCAAGGTGGTGGGGAATGGGCTATTGTGTAGCAGTCGGGATGACTCCAGAAAAGTGGTTCACTCTTCGTATCAGTGTGGAGAATGTCAATTGAAAATTTGAATTAGCCATGCGAGATTTATGAGTGAGTGAGTGAGATTAGTTTTACGCCGCACTCAGCAATATTCCAGCTATGTGGCGGCGGTCTGTAAATAATCGAGTTTGGACCAGACAATCCAGTGATCAAGAGCATGAGCATCGATCTACACAATTGGGAACCGATGACATGTGTCAACCAAATCATCGGGCCTGACAACCCGATCCCGTTAGTCGCCTCTTACGACAAGCATGGGTTACTGGAGATCAATATTCTGACCCGGACCTTCACGCGACGCCTCTTACGACAAGCATGGGCTACTGAAGATGAATATTCTAACCCGGATCTTCACGGGTAATGTGAGATTGATGACTGCTGGTAGGTAATGTGTATAAAATGATAATCACAGGTACGAAACTAATCCTAATATCCATATCTGCAAGTACTGGTCTCGATCCTCTTATTGGACTATTGGAACAAGTGATTTCATGTGTTCACCATGTTTCAGAATATATCCGGACCTGCGCAGTACGTTCTACTGTACGGCCGTGAGACACGGAGGTCTTGAACAATGGGAGTTTGTCCACCAGAAGTATCTCACGGAGCAGACCAGTTCTGAGAAGGACAGACTGAGACGAGCTTTGTCGTGCACAAGAGAACCCTGGCTACTACAGAGGTATGTGGAGGCACTGTTATAGACATAGCTTTACTACAAAGTTGCAAAAATGGAAAATGCAGAGTTGTATCCATTAGGAATCTGAAAAATCTATGATCGTGAGTTCGAATCCGATATACGCCATGATTGTGGTTCTTTGTTTGTCGCCAACAAACCCGTGCTAGTCCAGTGGCATTTTGGTTTTATCAAAACATCAACGTGACACACTGTGTCATGACTGAAAAGATGCGGCATAAAACCATATTCACTCGTTGATGTATAGCCATCATTGTGTGTAGATCATAGCTCACGCTCACCTCCTCGCAAGATATATATATGAAATAATTACTTAGAAAGCCAAGCGTACTACATTCAGAAAATGTTTATACTCATAATGCTTTGTTTCACATTTGCTGGAAAACTTTGAACTTTATTATTAGCATTTGTGTATTGTCAAGTGAGCATTTTGTTTTTGTATCGCTTATCAATTATAGCAGTGATAGAAGTAATGTAAGTGAGTGAATGTAGGTTTACGCCGCATAATCATTATGCCAGTGGTACCACTGCTAAGAACACCAAAGAATAGTCTCACACAAGAAATGGGCAGACATACATTGCAACAATCGATCGTCCTTTCTAACGCTGCTTGATCCCATGGCGTATATAGTTTTAGCGTCACTGACGTTTTCTCCATAAAAGCCCGAATATGTACTTATGGCTCCCGTGTATTGTTCAGACATCGTATTGTATTGTGATGCATTTTGATCATGTGTAACATCCAGGGGCCCGTTTCAAAATCGATCGTAGCGCTACGACAGTCGTAAGTCTATGTTAAAGTATTGGGGTTACGATTATCTTAGCGCTACGATCGCTTTGTGAAACGGGCCCAGGTCTTTCAGTCCTGAGACATGGTTTTGTCGACATTGAACATGTTTTGTTGAGTATGTTTTGTCTGTATTGTCATTGTTTCTATCATTTTTCAGAGTTTTGGAAATGTCCCTGAATTCGGATGAGGTGAAAGGACAAGACGTCTTGGTCAACTGTCACATACGTGGCCAACAACCGCTGGGGGCGGAGCTCGCCTGGGACTTTGTGGATACATCAGTGAGACTGTTCTCCATCTGATGGAAGATGGAACTAACAATCAGTAAGTTGCATGTTAATCTACATGAGGCTTGTACACTAACAATCAGTAAGTTGCATGTTGATCTACATGAGGGTTGTACACTAACAATCAGTAAGTTGCATGTTAATCTACATAAGGGTTGTACACTAACAATCAGTAAGTTGCATGTTAATCTACACGAGGGTTGTACACTAACAATCAGTAAGTTGCATGTTAATCTACATGAGGGTTGTACACTAACAATCAGTAAGTTGCATGTTAATCTACATGAGGGTTGTACACTAACAATCAGTAAGTTGCATGTTAATCTACACGAGGGTTGTACACTAACAATCAGTAAGTTGCATGTTAATCTACATGAGGGTTGTACACTAACAATCAGTAAGTTGCATGTTAATCTACATGAGGGTTGTACACTAACAATCAGTAAGTTGCATGTTAATCTACATGAGGGTTGTACACTAACAATCAGTAAGTTGCATGTTAATCTACATGAGGGTTGTACACTAACAATCAGTAAGTTGCATGTTAATCTACAATGAGGGTTGTACACTAACAATCAGTAAGTTGCATGTTAATCTACATGAGGGTTGTACACTAACAATCAGTAAGTTGCATGTTAATCTACACGAGGGTTGTACACTAACAATCAGTAAGTTGCATGTTAATCTACACGAGGGTTGTACACTAACAATCAGTAAGTTGCATGTTAATCTACACGAGGGTTGTACACTAACAATCAGTAAGTTGCATGTTAATCTACACGAGGGTTGTACACTAACAATCAGTAAGTTGCATGTTAATCTACATGAGGGTTGTACACTAACAATCAGTAAGTTGCATGTTAATCTACATGAGGGTTGTACACTAACAATCAGTAAGTTGCATGTTAATCTACATGAGGGTTGTACACTAACAATCAGTAAGTTGCATGTTAATCTACATGAGGGTTGTACACTAACAATCAGTAAGTTGCATGTTAATCTACATGAGGGCTTGTACACTAACAATCAGTAAGTTGCATGTTAATCTACATGAGGGTTGTACACTAACAATCAGTAAGTTGCATGTTAATCTACATGAGGGTTGTACACTAACAATCAGTAAGTTGCATGTTAATCTACATGAGGGTTGTACACTAACAATCAGTAAGTTGCATGTTAATCTACATGAGGGTTGTACACGATTACATCTGTTCTCAGACGTGAGGGGTGTATGTTACGATGAATAATATTGCTTGTATGGATTCCGGGGCTAATGTGGATTTCTAATGACGACCGCTGGCCAAGATAGCAATACAAACCACCTTGTGACGTCTTTTTAAATGACGACGACAGGGGATCGAACCGTTGACATTCCATGCAGACGCTCTATCCAGATTACACGGGGCGTGGAAGACGTGAAATTTATAGTCGTTAAATATATGCAGTAATTTCCATGTTGAAAGGCACAGGAAACGTATTATCCATATCTGACGTGATTGAGAGATTCCGACATTATTCTGCTATTGGCTCAAGACATACATGTATAACGGGGCAAGGTGGTGGGGAATGGGCTAATGTGTAGCAGTCGGGATGACTCCAGAAAAGTGGTTCACTCTTCGTATCAGTGTGGAGAATGTCAATTGAAAATTTGAATTAGCCATGCGAGATTTATGAGTGAGTGAGTGAGATTAGTTTTATGCCGCACTCAGCAATATTCCAGCTATGTGGTGGCGGTCTGTAAATAATCGAGTTTGGACCAGACAATCCAGTGATCAACAGCATGAGCATCGAGCTACGCAATTGGGAACCGATGACATGTGTCAACCAAGTCAGCGGGCCTGACCACCCGATCCCGTTAGTCGCCTCTTACGACAAGCATGGGTTACTTAATATTCTGACCCGGATCTTCACGGGTAATGTGAGATTTATGACTGCTGGTAGGTTATGTGTATAAAATGATAGTCACAGGCACGAAATTAATCCTAATATGCATTTCTGCAAATACTGGTCTAGATCCTCTTATTGGACTATTGGAACGAGTGATTTCATGTGTTCACCATGTTTCAGAATATACCCAGACCTGCGCAGTACGTTCTACTGTACGGCCGTGAGACACGGAGGTCTGGAAGAATGGGAGTTTGTCCGCCAGAAGTATCTCACGGAGCAGACAAGTTCTGAGAAGGACAGATTGAGACGAGCTTTGTCGTGCACAAGAGAACCCTGGCTACTACAGAGGTATGCGGAGGCACTGTTATAGACATAGCTTTACTATAAAGTTGCAAAAATGGAAAATGCAGGGTTGTATCCATTATCGTGAGTTCGAATCCGATATACGCCATGATTGTGGTTTTTTGTTTGTCGCCAACAAACCCTTGTTAGTCCAGTAAATTTTGGTTTTACCAAAACATCAACGTGACACACTGTGTCGTGACTGAAAAGATGCGGCATAAAACCATATTCACTCATTACAATTGAGGTATAGCCATCATTGTGTGGAGATCAGAACTCACGCTCAACTCATCGCAAGATACATAAATAATTACTTAGGTGAGGTGAGGTGAAATTGGGTTTTACGTCGTGCTTGAGAATATTTCGCTCATATGACGACGTGCATGCTTGTGTATGTGTATGTGCGGCTGCTTGTACTAGCCCAGACTGAAGCTGGTTTTATAGTGCTAGCCCACTGAGATACTATGCCGCAGTGAAGCATGAATACCCCACTCAGACACATTATACTGACTCCGAGCCGACCAGTCCTTGTTGTACCCATTAATGCCAAGCGCCAGACAGGGACCAACAAATACCATATTTTAACGTCTTTTTGGTATGACGCGGTCAGGGATCGAACCCGAGACCTTCCGCTCTCCGGGCGGACGCTAAATACTTACTTAGAAAGCCAAATGTACTACATTCAGAAAATGTTTATACTCATAATGCTTTGTTTCGCATTTGCTGGAAAACTTTGAACTTTATTAGCATTTGTGTATTGTCAAAGTGAGCTTTTCGTTATTGTATCGCTTATCAGTTATGGCAGTGATAGAAGTAATGTAAGTGAGTGAATGTAGGTTTACGCCGCATAAGCATTATGCTAGTGGTACCACTGCTAAGAACACCAAAGAATAGTCTCACACAGGACGTGAAGACTGCATGGGCAGACATACATTGGACCAATCGATCGTCCGTTTCTAACGCTGCTTGATCCCATGGCGTATATAGTTTTAGCGTCACTGACGTTTTCTCCATAAAAGCCCGAATATGTACTTATGGCTCCCGTGTATTGTTCAGACATCGTATTGTATTGTGATGCATTTTGATCATGTGTAACATTCAGGGGCCCGATTCACAAATCTATCGTAGCGCTACGACAGTCGTAAGTCTATGTTAAGGTATGGGGGTTACGATTATCTTAGCGCTACGATCGCTTTGTGAAACGGGCCCAGGTCTTTCAGTCCTGAGACATGGTTTTGTCGACACTGAACATGTTTTGTTGAGTATGTTTTGTCTGTATTATCATTGTTTCTATCATTTTTCAGAGTTTTGGAAATGTCCCTGAATTCGGATGAGGTGAAAGGCCAAGACGTCTTGTCCACTGTCACATACGTGGCCAACAACCGCTGGGGGCGGGAGCTCGCCTGGGACTTTGTCAAACATCACTTTGCTGAACTGGGTTCTGCGTATGTTGTTTGCTCCTTCAGAAAACCTTGCAATTGTTCCAGCTCTGTTGCACAGTCAGTGATCGTCAGCCCTTCATGGGAGGTCGTTTCCCAGAAAACAGTTCACCTTTGAATTTGTGCGATGTGCTCAGAGAAGTAGTTGACCATTGTATAGATGTAATGTGCTCAGAGAACCAATTGGCCATTGGATTTGATAATGTACCCAAAGAACTTTAAGAAGACCCGAATAACCAGTTGACAATTTTACAGACACAGCTGAATATTGTACTGAGCAATATAAGGTGAACCAGAGAACTGGTTGACTTTGTGTTGTTCAAAATGATGCAAATTATACGTCAAAATAGCATTATCAAAAATTTGCCCAAAACGTGATGAAAGTATTGCAATAGTTTAGCATGGTACCATGTCAAGATGATCAGGGTTTCCTAGCAACCTTAACTTGTCAGTCGAAGTGTTGGTTATTCCTGGGGTCATTCCTAGCGGTTTGTCCAGTGCAGACTTGATTGTCTTCATGTCACCACCATAAAGCTAACATATACCGATGAGGGCAACAAAACTAACATATACCGATGAGGGCAACAAAGCTAACATATACCGATGAGGGCAACAAAACTAACATATACCGATGAGGGCAATAAAACTAACATACCGGTATACCGATGAGGGAAACAAAACTAACATATATATTGATGAGGGCAACAAAACTAACATATACCGATGAGGGCAACAAAACTAACATATACCGACGAGGGCAACAAAACTAACATATACCGATGAGGGCACCAAAGCTACCATATACCGACGAGGGCAACAAAACTAACATATACCGATGAGGGCAACAAAACTAACATATACCGATGAAGGCAACGTCAACAACAAAACAGAATAAGTTTCATTAATATCTGAGTGTTGTTTGCAGGATAACAACCCGATCAGGACTGTACCGAATAATCCGGGAGAGTTCTGAGAAGTACAACACAGAGCAAGAGTACAAGAAGGTATGGGTATTTTTATAGAGTTGTGACCCTTGCCAGAAACCCATAAATATGGGTTCAAATCCCGGCTTATCGCGTTACTAAACCTACCACCTATAGTGTACCTGTTTTTTTCCAAAGTGGTATGCTTTCCAGATCAGCTTCACTTCGGGGCTTGCTTAATCAAGCGTGGTATAACTGGGCTGCTGTGCAGTGAAAACTTAGACAAATTTACCAACACATGACATATATTACGTGATGGTCGTGGTGTTGGAGACTATTATGTATGTCAGGGAATGAGGGGTGGGTGGAGTCGGGGTGGGGGTGGGGGTGGTGTTGGATTGAGAGGGGTGATGAGGGCAGGACGTATGCTGCTTCGTTTCCTCCACACTGAGCAGTATTCTACCAGTATGACGATGGCTCGTGTAACTTCGACTTTGGACCAGGCAATCCAGTGATTAACACCACAGACATCAATCTACGTACCTGTCAGTCTAACTTGATATAAACGTAAGGATTAACCTTATTCAGATCCGGATTACTACTGGATTCCGTGCATTCACGAGTGACAGATATTTGTGAAATATTAATGGTCAGGTTGAGGACAATGAATCTTTGCTTCAGGTGGAGGACTTCATGAACAGCGGCGATGATGTATCCGAGGCGGGGACGGCGTTTAAGGAAGTTCTGGACAGAACAACAACAAACATCAACTGGCTGAAGAAGAATTACGGAGTGTTTGAGACATGGCTCAAGTCTCAGATATAAACTCGCCTTAAATGTCTTCCAGGTCACGGATCTTGCAGTGTTAACATTAAACGTGAATCGCTATGTGTCGAATAAGTTTGTAACCTCATGGGCGAAAGAAACCCACCTCGCTTTTTTAACATGTCACAAAACAAACTCAGATTTTGGAAATTTAACAATCATATTTGGAAAAATTAATGGATTTACAACATTCTGAATGACGAAAGAGTAAACTACAGATATGAATAATCACTTAGTGTACGATAAGAGATTAAAAAAATAATTTTGGTGACGTTTCTTTCGCCCGTGAATTTATATATGTTACAGTCAATGTGTAGATCATTGAAACTTGCGTGATATTTGCCAGCAATTTGTACATTCCTGATTGATTTAGGCGATTTATAGAATACTTAAATATGTAAGTTTCATTGAGTGACCAAACAATTCGTCCGTGTATTTGAGTGATTGAATGCAAATTATGATGAGGATATTGCAGTTCTTAAGATGTTGAATTTCTTCGCCAAATAGCTCAAAATGATAAGGTTTAAGATATATTGATACCCACTATATGTTCATGTCTTTATTGAAATAAAATGACAAGAAGTCCACTCTTAACCTATGTACATGATGTATGGTACGTTGTTGTCATGTTGCAATTATATGTAGGAGACGGTGGCTTGGAAACGGGTGAGTGAGTGAAGAGCAGTACCCTTGAAGATCCGAGTTAGAATATTGATCTTCAGTAACCCATGCTTGTCGTAAGAGGCGACTAACGGGATCGGGTGGTCAGGCTCGCTGACTTGATTGACACATGTCATCAGTTCCCAATTGCGTAGATCGATGCACATGCTGTTGATCACTGGATTGTCTGGTCCAGACCGCCGCCAATATAGCTGAAAAGGTGCGGCGTAAAACTAAATCTCACTCACTCGTTATATCAGTAGTTCGTTACATGCCTTGACTAAATATAGAACAAATAAAAAAGACCCAAAAAATACAATTCGTTAAATCTTCTATATAGTTATCGGGGCGGTGGGGTAGCCTAGTGGTTAAAGCGTTGGCTCGTCACGCCGAAGACCCGGGTTCGAATCCCCACATGGGTACAATGAGTGAAGCCCATTTCTGGTGTCCCCCGCCGTGATATTGCTGGAATATTGCTAAAAGCGGCGTAAAACCAAACTCAGTCAGTCAGTCTATATAGTTATCCTTAGAAACTAATAGCCGAAGCCACTGAACCCCATTAATCCCAAGATGGTTTTTGTTTTCCGTTAATGCCTGCAATGAGTGGAAATTAAAGCTCATTTTGTTTGCAAAGACTGGGATATGAGACTTTTCCACATAAGGTCCAAGGTAACTGCTTTTCTCAACTATGAGTAAGTGAGTTGGGTTGAACGTCTCCTTTACCCCATCTACACACTGACTGATGCGCAAGATCGTTAGTTTTCTTATACTGGCTTCCGCTACACAGCATGGTGATGACAGAGTGACATCACCATCCCCCAGAGACGTGTGTCCCTCATCACTTACTCATTGGGGATTGCTGGAACAAAGTCCCGGAATTATCTTGTCTGAAATTGTTGCTCGGGTAGTTTGGCTCATTTGAACTACATCCCAAATTAACTAACTAAATTATCTGAGTAGAGGCACCCCCATGGCATGTAATGAGCACAGCCCATCAGCTCTCCCAGAAGAACTACATGCTTACCATCCTATTGACCAGTACTTATGTTGTTGTATAGGTAATTTAATAACCAGAAAGTAAAGGACAAGAGAGAAGGGTATGTTGTAGTTGGTGAATGTTCTTGAATTCATATGATAGAAACAAACAAGCCAAGCTTAGTATATTAGAGTAAAGGTAAAGGTATATTAGAGTAAAGGTAAAGGTATATTGGAGTAAAGGTAAAGGTATATTGGAGTAAAGGTAAAGGTATATTGGGGTAAAGGTAAAGGTATATTGGGGTAAAGGTGAAGGTATATTGGTGTAAAGGTGAAGGTATATTGGGGTAAAGGTGAAGGTATATTAGAGTAAAGGTAAAGGTATATTGGTGTAAAGGTGAAGGTATATTGGGTAAAGGTAAAGGTATATTAGAGTAAAGGTAAAGGTATATTGGAGTAAAGGTAAAGGTATATTGGTGTAAAGGTGAAGGTATATTGGAGTAAAGGTAAAGGTATATTGGTGTAAAGGTGAAGGTATATTGGGGTAAAGGTGAAGGTATATTAGAGTAAAGGTAAAGGTATATTGGTGTAAAGGTGAAGGTATATTGGGGTAAAGGTGAAGGTATATTAGAGTAAAGGTAAAGGTATATTGGTGTAAAGGTGAAGGTATATTGGGGTAAAGGTAAAGGTATATTAGAGTAAAGGTAAAGGTTTATTGCAGTAAAGGCAAAGGTATATTTGAGTAAAGGTGAAATATCAACGAATGAATTTTTGAGTTAAAATAGTGTTGTTACAGACTGCAATCCAGTACCACGATGCAGTTGGCTACTTATTGAAGCTGGACTAAACTAGTTCTACATGGATCAGATTGAACACTGAGGATGAAAGTGACACTAAATTATCACATTAAATATGTAAGCCTATCTATAGATGAACTATCTATACATCTGTATATAAAACTCCAGATTTTATCTGCACAAGATCTTTCGCCGTTCAACGGCTCTTCATGTGTACAATGAAAACTAAGTGACGCATAACGGCAGTAGCTATGACGTCATCATGCGTGTGACGTTACAGTTAGTGACAATAGGTAATATGTAATAGATATATAAGATATATCTTCTTAGGTAGTTGAACATGCTGTTCATAAAGCAGTAAAAGTCCCAAGAGAGACACTTATGAAAACAGAAGAAACAAATACAGAAACGGACATTCTTCCATTTGTTTGTACCTACAATCCTAATAACTGTACAATATGTCCATTATGAAAGCAAATCTTCCAATTTTGTACAAAAGTGATACTATGAAAAAAGGTTTATCAGTCAGTGTAACAAAATGTTAAACACCTCGATGTGGATCTTGTTTAATCATAACTGAAAACTGCAAATTTACATTTTGTGACAGCAAACTATTTACTATCAAAACCAACATGAACTACAGCAGCAAAAATGTTATATATGTTTTATTTGTTTTCTGTTGGGCAAATCCATTAAGCAGATGCAGGTGACAGCATGTAGTTAATCTGTGCACTGGACCATAACATGTTTTCCTTTAAGCTGTAATCTTTATGGGATGTAGTTCTTATGTGAGGACCCTATGGCGTGGTTCGTTGCTCACGATTTTAATCATTGGTTTGTGTGGTCCAGGGTTGATTATTTACAGGAGTAATCTATAAGGAGGATTGTGGAACATTAAATATTCTCACACCCGGCACTTGTTGGTTGCGTCAGGTACTGTACAGTAATGCTACTGTGATATACACATTACTATAGCAGCAGGGAGACTCATAACGCATAGAGGCACAGAGGCATAGGGTATTCAAATGAAACCATAGTGCCCAAAGAGCATAACATTGGATCATGATCTTCACACAGAACATAACGGCACATGTTCTTCACACAGAGCATAACGGCACATGGTCTTCACACAGAGCATAACTGCACATGGTCTTCACACAGAACATAACGGCACATGGTCTTCATACAGAGCATAGCGGAACATGATCTTCATTAACAGCATTGCAACACATAATCTTCAGCCATAGCGGCACATGATATTTCCTCAAAGCATTGCGCACATGATCTGCAAACAAAGCATATCGGCACATGATCTTCACACAGTATGACGGAACATATATATGTTTTAGATAATTGAAACACCTTGAATGTACTCTACTTTCCAACGGGTTTGCCCTTAATTGGTTTGTACAAACCGATTGTGACGCTAAGCTTTTTTCATGTATATTTACTCGATCAAAGGTATTAAAATCTGGCATCAATCAATTTATATATCCGTCAAATTTTTTACAACATTATTGATGTTTTAAAGCATCACATGAAGGTCATAGAAGATACACACCGTGACCTCTATATGAAGGTCATGGAGATACACACTGTGATCTCTATTTGAAGGGCATGGAAGATACACATTGTGACGTTTATATGAAGGTCATGGAAGATACATACTGTAACCTCAAGATGAAGGTCATAGAAGATACACACCGTGGCCTCTATATGAAGGTCATGGAGATACACACTGTGACGTTTATATGAAGGTCATGGAAGATACACACCGTGGCCTCTATATGAAGGTCATGGAAGATACACACCGTGGCCTCTATATGAAGGTCATGGAAGATACACACCGTGGCCTCTATATGAAGGTCATGGAAGATACACACTGTGGCCTCTATATGAAGGTAATGGATGATACACACTGTGGCCTCTATATGAAGGTAATGGAAGATACACACCGTGGCCCCTATATGAAGGTCATGGAAGATACACACCGTGGCCTCTATATGAAGGGCATGGAAGATACACACCGTGGCCTCTATATGAAGGCAATGGAAGATACACACCGTGGCCTCTATATGAAGGTCATTGAAGATACACACTGCGGCCTCTATATGAAGGTAATGGATGATACACACTGTGGCCTCTATATGAAGGTAATGGAAGATACAAACTGTGGCCTCTATATGAAGGTAATGGAAGATACACACCGTGACCTCTATATGAAGGTCATGGAAGATACACATTGTGACCTCTATATGAAGGTCATGGAAGATACACACTATGACCTCTATATGAAGGTCATGGAAGATACATACTGCGACCTCTATATGAAGGTCATGGAAGATACACACTATGACCTCTATATGAAGGTAATGGAAGATACAGACGGTGACCTCTATATGGATGTCAATACCGGTGACATGTTAAATAATGTTATAAATATGACGAGCCATTCCATAGATGACATCGTGACCGCTTGGTGACGACCTTGATCTCCTTCAACAAATTGACAAAGTAACCGACTTCAGATCAGAAGGTCCGTGCTTCAAATCCCATATTAAGGCAATATAACAGTCCCCGAGGACAAGGTAGCCATACTTACAGGTACATAGAGAGGCCATTGAAGGTACTGTTGTACACATCAGTCAAAACTATATCAACACTGGATAAAGTATGGCAACTCTGTGGATAGGTAGTAAACCGCACATTAAATATGAACATTTGACACGTAAACATTTCCCATTTCCGTGGTGAGAAATTTAACGAGGACAGATACAAACACACCAACACTAATGAGAATTGAAATATAATTTATAGGTAAGATAAATATATTTTTAAACAACTATATATTTTGAACAACTGGCTTGCATCTGAATCCTCGCTGAGCGTGTGTACATTGTGCGGTTTACATAACGCTACGACATGTTAACTTTAAAGTTGATTTATAAATGAATTGTTTATTGTGTGCTAGGCGGAGACCTTTGATGATAATATATACCGCCATAAATGTGGGAATATGGAACGTAACCACGCTTAAGAAATTTAAAAAATTAAACTTAAAAAAATATATATAACTTTTTTAGCCAAGGGTATTGCCGAAACAATAAGTGCAGGTGCGTCAGGTGGTTCATTCGCGTAAAGTGTTGTATTCGTGTAAGGTATTGTATTCTATTATCGTGGGGTCGAATCCAATACCTCTTGTCGCCAGTTTCAACAAAGGACTACATATTTTAGGCCTTCTCCAATTAGGGATTTCCTAATTAGTGACAAGACAAGCTGTGGTACAAATACACGCTGACGACTCATTTACTGCTGGTTATGCGTCTTGTCAAAATTTGTCAGATTGTGTACAAGGCATGTCTAAAAAATATAAACTGATTTAAAAAACAAAACAAGCCGTTGAAAATATCAATCTGTGAAAAGCACATATTTGGTAAAACGGCAGCTTCCTGAATTCGACTTGACGCAAGATATAAAAATCTGAGACACCGTTAGTTCATGAGATCCTGGAGACGTGTAAGGGAGGTAACTCTGATTGACATGTTTAATACATACTTTCCTACGGGATTGTTTCAGTAATGTGTAATCTCAGACACATTTGACAGAAATGAACATTTATTGAAACATCTCACTAACATTTCAGAAACTGACACTGTAGTAATCTAGACTTCCCAACTATTATGCCTTGCAAGGGTTTAATGAGACACTTGTTTTAGAGTCTATTTGACGGACAAGCAATAAAATATTTATTGAATGTGAAAGTGTTTGCAGGAGTGGTTATATGTAAGTATGTGGCCGGCCAGCTTAACGAACACGTGGTCAGTCGTTACGGCAAAGATTAGTCCAGATATTACTGATATAACATAGACAGGTGACGGTGATTGGGAAGATGCTTTTTCAGCTTTCAGTCTAGTTTTCGACACGACGTCACAATGCCTCCATAATTCCATCATTCGCTACACCTCTAATACAAACAATGAGTTATGATCACACGGTACTTGATGGCAGGTACCCACATCTCCCTTCAAGTGTTCGTAACATATCATACTGACGCATCGTACTGACGATATCTCTGTTTGTCCAACACTCGATGGTCCAGCAAAGTAAACAGATTTTACGACCATCTGTTAAAAGATGGACTGCAATAGGATAAGTTAAAGAAAATATTTGGTTCACATTTTAATAGTTCGTTAATCATCAAACCTCGTTGCTTTCCGAAAAATTATAAAGTAAATTAAATTACACTGTGCTAAGTGGGGCGGGGGGAAGCCTAGTGGTTAAAGCGTTGGCTCGTCACGCCGAAGACCCGGGTTCGAATCCCCACATGGGTACAATGTGTGAAGCCCATTTCTTGTGTCCCCCGCCATGATGTTGCTGGAATATTGCTAAAAGGGGCGTAAAACCAAACTCAGTCAGTCAGTCAGACACTGTGCTAAGTAGATGTGAACGTATTTAAAAGTACACGTACATTGTACGTCGTTGTGACGTATTTAATTGCCAATCAGGGTCCCGTTTTACAAAGCTATCTTTAGCGCTAAAGTAACCGTAACTCCCATACCTTAACATACACTTAAGGTTGGGCGCATATAGGCCTTTTAAGGCCCAAGTTCGCCCTAAAACCTTATCTACCTACCTACCATACACTTAAGGTAGTCTTAGCGATACGGTTGTTTTGTACAACATCATCCTGGTATCATGTCATCTTGGACTGAATTGATGACAAATTTTTATTCCGGAAAGCATCCTCTTCTTTTTGCTCAGAATAAACTGTTCTGTTAAGTATTTCACGTGGTTATACGTCCAGGTCTAAACATGTTTACGGACTGAACTGTTACGGTCGAACAATAGGAAAGACTCGTGTACCTACTTGACATTCGTTACGTATATTTATAAATAAAGTTACGTTTCCACATGAATTTCGATGTATGAGGCTATAAAAGTATAAGCGACAGTACTGTATTAACTAGGCGTTGTTTCATTGTCTTGTTTTGTTTCCTGTACAACAAAGTGACAAAGCAGTAAGTGAGTGAGTGAGTTTAGGTTTACGCCGCACTCAGCAATATTTCAGCGATACGGTCTGTAAATAAGCGAGTCTGGACCAGACAATCCAGTGAGCAACAGCATGATCATCGATCTGCGCAATTTGGATACGATGACATGTGTCAACCAGGTCAGCGAGCCTCACCGCCCAATCCCGTCAGTCGCCTGAAGTCGTTACTGAAGATCAATTCTTACCCGGATCTTCACGGGTCGACAAAGCATAACGACGTATAACGTTTATGAAGTCGACATATAACGTTTGTGAAGACAGTATAGTTTTAAACTTCGACGGGATAGGAATCTGCACCATCATGATGTGCAGTTCTTCACGGTACCACTTGTCCCACAAGACTGTTGTCAACATCTAATCAGCTAGTTCTGTGTGTAGTTTTGATGTAAATACTGCTTAAAGTTCGCTGTAAGTGGTATATGCGTTATACCGGTGCCTGTGAATCTGAGCCTATACTATAGTCTGTTTGCAGTGAAAACGTACCGATGAATTTCACTTTAAACTAAAGCGTAAATCAAATAAAGTGAAATTAAGATTGCGAATCCTCATAATTTTACCTTGCCAATTGGACATATAAATCTCAGAATTTTGTTTAACTTAGAATAAAGGTTGTTTAAGAAACGATCATAGTTTCAAATCGCTATTATTGGTTTGTATTACAAGGGGATATGCACATTAAATGAAACACCGACAACAAGTAGGGCTGGTCTAAATTAACGCTCACCACGTGTGCACGTGCTTTTGTTTCACTGTTCCAACTACTGCGCTTACCCCCTTGTAATACAAATCAATAATAGCAATTTGAATCTATGATCGTTTGTTAAACAACTTTTATCCCAAGTTGAATACAATTCTGAGATTTAAATGTTCAATTGGCAAGGTAAAATTATGAGGATTCGCAATCTTAATTTCACTTTATTTGATTTACTTTTTTGTTTAAAGTGAAATTCATCGGTACGTTTTCACTGCAAACAGACTATAAGATATAGATACTGTCGTGTGAATCACTTTATACACATAATTCTATTATAACATTCGGATGTATGTCTGTGCATATGTAGTGCGTATTTCGACTCCACGGGGTAAATTAAGAAATGAAAGAAATTTGCATGGCTAATTGAACGAAATGAAAAATATACGAACGAACGAACGAATGATAAAAAAAACGACTTGTTAGGAAGCTGTCCTTATTACGGTTAATAACATGCATCTTCATAATGCCTAAAATGTTGCAATATTAAATCCTTAGGTTTTATAGTGCACAGCGGATTGTTAGTTGGGTTAGTCGTGACCACGTTTTTACAACCATGCCCTCTACGACTGAAGTACCCATAATTCACAGCCGATATATTCATACGCACCCTCGTCCTAGTTCTATACCACTGTTCAGTGACGGGGGACACGCTGGGGAGGTTCTGTAGGAGTTAGTCAAGGTGCTGGACAACATGGCGTTACAGAACACCTCTCTGGACTCGGAGAGCAATTCCTCAGACCGTGGAGGGTCCGGCTGCTACGTGTCCGCGGTCCATGGCTTCATACTGCTGCTCCTGGCTGTTGCCATTTCTGTCGGAGTGGGGATCCTTGTACACTTCTCCGGGGGTGGGGAGTTAGTGTGTGAGTGTGGTCAGTCACAGACCCCTGCCCAGAGTCCGGAGGCCCTCAGGCAGATGTGTATTGACCTGGTCAAGGATGGCACTGGAGAGGAAATCTGTAAGTGTTTCTTTATAAATACACGTACATTCCTCTGGTTAGGTTAAGCTTGGTTCTTTGGTAGATTTGGTGTTTGTCACCAAACTCAGCTATATTTCAGCTATATGGCGGCGATCTGTAAATAATCGAGACAATACCAGACAATCCAGTGATCATCACTTAAGTTAAGCACAACTATCTTGTCTTAATATATAAAAGCGATGCAAAACCGAATTCACTCACTCACTTAAACTCAGATTCGCTTTGATAATGTTTCTCATTGTATATGTCAAATACCTGTTATCGTTGGCGTCACAAGAGTGGTAGACATGTCCGCCTATCCGAGCGTGCTTCAGGTAGCCTTATAGTGAAAATAGTCGCTCGCCACGCCGAAAGTCCGGGTTCGATTCTCCACCCGGGTAAAATGTGTGAAGACCCTGGTGTACCAATGTTGCTGAGATGTTGCTAAAAGCGGCGTAAAACCATACTCACTAACTGAGATTAACCTTACACCCTTACACCCAATACTGTCCAGTGTAGCGGTATACCAAACTCACCAGCTGATCAATATTGACAGGTGACGTGTGTCCAGCTGACCCAGAGCGGACGACAAAGACTCCAGCTCCCGAGGTCACAACTACAGCTACGACGATAGCACCACCAGCAACAACAACAGAGGCGCCTAGAGACTATCGTCTACCCATCACCGTGCGGCCCTATCTGTACAGTCTGTCTCTCCAGCCCAACATCTACGGCGGGGACAATGGAGTTTTTGATTTCAATGGCACCGTCTCCATTGCAACAGTTGCTGAAGAGGCTGCAACAACCATCACCCTGCACGCCCATCCTACACTCAACATCGACAAGGCCACCATACAGGTCGGAATCTGAACTTACGTACATTAGAGAGCCAATGGTATTGTAGACTAGCGCTTAGAAACAAACAAGTCCTTTCATATTGAAAAGGGGGGCAGTGGGGTAGCCTAGTGGTTAAAGCGTTGGCTCGTCACGCCAAAGACCCGGGTTCGAATCCCCACATGGGTACAATGTGTGAAGCCCATTTCTGGTGTCCCCCGCCGTGATTTTGCTGGAATATTGCTAAAAGGGGCGTAAAACCAAACTCAGTCAGTCAGAAAAGGTGAGAAGGAAGATTGAGCCTGAACCTGGGGAAATTGACTTGCTTTATTTAGGGCTTTAATGCTTCTGAAAGGGCTGGGCGGAAGGGAAAATAATCTGGTTCAGGGACTGTGAGACTGACCAATATTTTTGTGACAGTATGGTGAAAAATAAAGTTACCAGTACCCTAATGGCGATTTGGCCCTGTGATACCCGAGAGGCGCTATTTCCGGTACTAAGCTGGTTCTCGGCTCCCTTTGCGCGCGCCAGTTTGTGTTATGAGAGACGGGGCCCAGTTTACTCCCGGTACTCGATTTCCGGTGACAAGCGCGTATTCAAGAACCAGTTCTGGTTCCAAATTGCGCGACCGCCAAATAGGAGTTTACTAGACCGGACCAAGTAAACAACCATGCTTGACTGTCACAGCTGTTGACAGTCGTAATAGTTGGCTGATGGTTAGATCGGAAATTTGTTATTCCTGCAATAATGAACGATTCCTTACTGTCAACTGACAACCATGGGTCCATTCGAATAGGAATGAAACGTTGCTTGTCATCGGAAGTACTAAGGTCTCAGGATGCGCTATAAACTGGATAAATAGACCTGTTTCATATTTAACTCTATGTGTTTGAACTGTGTGCCGAAAATATGAACAGGACAGGCTGTTTTCAGGGCTTGGCGGAAGATGGCAAATACAGAGTGTAAAGTTGCCGTTCTTTGATGGTGTAATCCAGGCGATCCGAATCATGATATTATACGAAAGCTGATATAACCAGACATATGTATCATATGGTCACATTTGGGCACAATCAAAAGGGCAGATTGTTACAACCAATCTTATGTGTGCCAAAATATATCTGTATCCTACAGGCGAGGGGTAGAGCACAATCCAAAATGCCACACTGTTATGACACATGTCACGTGTGCCCTTAGTCACATTTGAAATTGTAACATCACTTTGCCAACAGGTGCGAGACATCAACTCAACAGCCAGCCTAACTGTACCAGACACATCGTATGAATCTCTGCGGCATTTCTTTGTCCTGCGTCTGTCCACGCCTCTGACCATTGGTCGCCATTATGAGATATCAATGTCCTTCAGCGGCCCCTTGTCTCAAGATGGAGTCGGTCTGTACCTCAGCGTGTATCAGGAGGATGGCAGGAACGTGTAAGTATTGGTTCTAGTCAGTGTCAGGGCAACCATTTGCAACTGAAGAAAACCGCTAACAATACGAGCTCGTATTTCTGCAGGATGGTTTACTCTACACAATATTCTGAACATGGGAGATATCATGAAAATAATTGTAAGATAGGAGATGAGACGAGAAGAGACGACACCAAAACAAATTCATATTTGAAATATGAAAATGAGAATAAAAACAGAAACTATAAACACAAGAAAATATCACCCTTACTATCTTAACCAAAGGTGAAACACATAAGAAATTGGACATTATCACAGTGACGGCAAAAATGGCATTTACCAGTATGTATAAATGTAATATTTACAAGATATATCGCAGTTATAGTAAACTTTAGTAGAAGGGCACGATACGAATTGTATACGAATTGTATTGTAGGATACGAATCGTACATAGCGGACTGTTACAAAGGATTACATCTTACAATCGTTTAAAAATTACTGTAAGTTGTATGCTTCTCTCGAGGGTAATACGGTCTGATGTACACCTCTTTGTAGCAGTGTCACCCGAGCCGGTAGGCGAGCATCTGGTAATATATATTAATAATAAATGGCCTCTCGACTGGATTATTTAAATGATAAGCAAATAGTTAGGATAGAAATGGTTAATTATGTCTAAGCTGAGTATGCAAACGATGCAATGTATAAAATAGTTTAAATAAAGCAGTGAAAGTCGGTATAATTAATGTGTACATAGTGAACTCAAAAACAGCTAATCGAACGGCCGTTTTCAAACTCCGTGCACTGCATGCGTTATATTATGACGTCATATGACTGTTAGCGATACAGCTTCTCGGCGGAGATTTTGGCGGTTACCGGGCAGCGGGTAAAATTATTTCCAGTTTTCACCCTACTGGAAGGTGAGGTGAGGTGAAATTGGGTTTTAACGTCGTGCTTGAGAATATTTCGCTCATATGACGACGTGCATGCGTGTGTATGTGTATGTGCGGCTGCTTGTACTAGCCCAGACTTAAGCTGGTTTTATAGTGCTAGCCCACTGAGATACCATGCCGCAGTAAAGCATGAATACCCCACTCAGACACATTATACTGACTCCGAGCTGACCCATCCTTGTTGTACCCATTAATGTCGAGCGCCAGGCAGGGACCAACAAGTACCATATTTTAACGTCTTTTGGTATGACGCGGTCGGGGATCGAACCCACGACCTTCCGCACTCCGGGCGGACGCTCTAACCACTACACCACGGAGGCGGTTCCTTCCTAAAGCGACATTGACCAATGAAATCTAAGTATTTTACATGAAGGTAAGATAATGGCTGGCATTATGATTTCCTCACTGTCATTTCGTATCTTACGTGGCTCTCTGACAAACTGCTGATCATAGATGTCGCATACAGTTCAACCTCACGCAGAATGACTTATTGTTCTTCGTTTCAGAGAAAGAATGTGTATGTCATTTAATCAGTATCCTAAACGGTATTCTATATCTCTCAAAACAACATCATTCGTATACGAACTAAAAGTTGACCCCTCCTGGATGGATGAATAGTGTTAATAGACCATCTACTTTACAAGCAGTCAAGACAGTGACTGACTGACTGACTAAGAATGGTTTTACTCCGTTTTTTGCAATATTCCATCAATATCACGGCGAGGGACACCAGAAATGGGCTTTTTATAAATTGTACCCATGTTGGGAATCGAACCCGGGCCTACGGCGTGATGAGCGAACGCTTTAACCACTCGGCTACCCAACAGCCCTCCAAGACACTGAACTTAATGCAATGGTAAATCTAGTATAGGAATGTTACACTGACTGACTGAGTGTGGTTTTACGCCGCTTTTAGCAATATTCCAGCAACATCAGAGCGGGGGACACCAGAAATGGGCTTCACACATTGTACCAATATAGGGATTCGAACCCGGGTCTTTGGCGTGACGAGCCAACGCTTTAACCACTAGGCTACCCCACCGCCCCAGGAATGTTACAGACTTTGCAGAGTTTGAGTACAGTTATCAATACCCTGTCATCCCAGGACAGGGGCTCCAAAAGTTGACTCCATACGGTAACGACTTCGGGATCTGATCCGAGTCTTCGGCATACACTGAGTGAGTGAGTATGGTTTTATTCCGCTTTTAGCAATATTTCAACAATATCACGGCGGAGGGCCTTCGGCATACAGCACTGAATATGTGATAAGTAAGTTTCCATGACTGTCCCAGGAAAGAATGGAGCAGTCTAACTTGTTGGATCTCCTGCGGCAGATTAGCCCGGGTTCAATATCTCATCAAGGATAAAATATTTTAAGTCAGCAATGTTACTGATGACTGTTCAAAGTATAAGGTGTTTTTTTCAGTTACCTAGCAACGACCCAGTTTGAGGCTCCTGATGCACGTAAAGCCTTCCCCTGCTTTGATGAACCTGCGCTGAGAGCAGAGTTTGACATCACCCTCGTGAGACAAGATGGCGGAGAAAGGAACTACACTTCACTCGCCAACACTCCACGGAAATCATCCACTTCTCTACAGTACGTCACCTCTAAATTTCATAATAGAGGAAGACATCGAGTGATGCCAAAAGGCTGAAAGGTTTATTGCAACACGTGACCTAATTCCCTTTGTTCCACACAGCTATGGTCATTTATGATTTATGACGACACCATAAGCCTCCTTTTGGTATTATGCAGGTCCTGGAACCATCGCTTGATAGCTACCTTTAACCGTAAATGTTAATTATTGTAAAACCGTTCATTGATAGGGACACTGATTGCCTTGTCGTCTAAGACACCGAAGTTAGTTGGCATGGTTTCTTCTTCCATGCCCGAGTGAACAAAAATATCTAATAAATCCAAGATTGATTTGGCCAGCCCAGATTCATTCGCCTCTAGGCCTAAACCCAAGCAAAGGTTGATCTGGTCAGTCTAGATTGTCTCATCTGTAGGCCTGATTTGACCGGTCCAGGTAGCCTCTGCCCAAGGCCTAGGCCTGTTACTCGTGTCTCAAAAGACGAGGATATCCAAGATTAGTTCAGTGCTTAACACTAGGAAGTTTTCATGTGTCAGATGCTATACTGGTGTTGTAGGAACGGCATGGTTGCCGACGTGTTTGAGCGGACTGTGATGATGCCCACCTACCTCTTGGCGTTCATAGTGTGCGACTACGAGTACGTGGAGGATATCGTGAGCAACGTCCAGGTGTGTCCCAGTGACTTCTTCTCTATACTTGAGTATCTGCCATTATCCTGTATGTTTTAGTCTCCATTCTGTTATGACGAATACCTTGAGGAGCTGGTGATAGTACATAGAAATGGACTGCATTGGCGCTTAGTAAGCACTTAAAGAAATATTTCTACATGATTAGAGTTTTAAAATACGATAGGAAAAATGATTCGCATGATATATTACTGCTGACAAGTATGTTATGCATATTATGTATGTGAGAAATCTATGGGATATCTGAAAATCTATATATTAGCCCTTTTAGACATGCATTGACAACGTTTTAAGAGGTGAGGTCTTGTTTATTTATCAAGACTTCTGAACCCAATCTATAGCCCAATCGATTAATTTTTAAGCAGAATTACCCAGCACATTTTACAAACTGTTACGGGAATGGTTGAACAGACATAAGCAAATGAAAAAATTCATACAAATTTCAAATTTCAATTTCCTTCTTTTCCTTAGTTTAGTTAGGTAACGTCCGAAACGAAGCTATACTATCCAATACGTCGATCGATGATCATAAAACCAATCACTGGATTGTCTCGTCCAAACCGATAATTTACTATTAAATAGCCGAAATATCGCTAAGTACGGCATTTAAACATAAAGCACATTGGACCATATTCTAAAAGTGAGTGAGTGAGTTTAGTTTTACGCCACACTCAGCAATATTCCAGCTATATGGCGGCGGTCTGCACATAATAGAGTCTGGACCAGACAATCCAGTGATCAACAGCATGATCTACGCAATTGGGAACCGATGCCATGTCTCAACCAAGTCAGCAAGCCTGACCACCCGATCCCGTTAGTCGCCTCTTACGACAAGCATGGATTACTGAAGGTTCATTCTAACACGGACCTTCACGGGTCTCTAATACCCTAAGATGAAAGTAATATTGTTTTCAGCAACATTTTGAATTTTTTTCATCAGTATCGAACATGGGCGATGCCCAAGAAACTTGAGTACACGGAAACTGCACAGCGTCACGGGATCGCCATCTTCAAGCGGTTTACGGATTACTTTACGCCAGCATATGTCTTCTCTAAATTAGGTATGCCCAGCCTTAATATTGTCACTTCTAAATTATATTCGCAATGCAGTAGATTGAATGTAAACAATTCTTCGTCAGAGTATCGTCTTTCCAAATCGACATTAGAAATGTACTGGAGCCCGATACACAAAGCGTTCACAACATACGATATTCGTAAGCCTATGATAAAATCTATGCATCCAATTGTTCGTAACGCTACAATATTCGTAAGCCTATGATAAAATCTATGCATCCGATTGTTCGTAACGCTACAATATTCGTAAGCCTATGATAAAATCTATGCATCCGATTGTTAGTAACGCTACGATGTTCGTAAGCCTATGATAAAATCTATGCATCCGATTGTCCGTAACGCTACAATATTCGTAAGCCTATGATAAAATCTATGCATCCGATTGTTCGTAACGCTACGAAGGCTTTGTGGATCGAGACCCTGATTGATTACAATTCTGCATTTGGACATTCAAAAACAGCGTTTGTTGTTTTACAAAAACGTCCTCACCACAACGCCAGCAACTACAACATCTGCTCTGACGGCTACATGTGCTTCCACTGATTTCAGACAACATCGCCATCCCCGACTTCAACGCTGGAGCCATGGAGAACTGGGGTCTCATCACCTACAGGGACACACTGCTGTATGAACCCGGGGTCTCCTCAGCCTCCGATGAGAACTGGATAGCAGAGGTCATCTCTCATGAGATAGCTCACCAGGTACTCTTGTCTGTCCCTCCGACTATAGCTGATAAATTAAAACAGGAATCCGACTCAAGTTTAGAAGGGTTTGGAATGTCTCTCTGCTCTCATAAAATTAAGCATTGCTATTAGGGTCCATTTCAATTATTTTTAATTTGTAAATTTAGATTGTTATCTAAATATTAGTAAATATAAGACGACTGTATTACTAACGAGAGAGTGAACAGGGATTAACGCCAGTATTTTAGTTATGTAATTGATTATTACAGTTCGCTCTACCACCATGATAGTAGAGCGAACTTTATTTGAACTATTTAGTTAAGATGAGGACGCTTACATCCGAATGCTTTAACGTTATAATAGTTCAGGGCGAAAGTAAATTATGATAGTAGAGCGAAAATAAACGACGGTGTCGGTAACCTCAATTGAGAATCCTCGCTAAGGATAATTGACGCGCTGTAATTTGAGGTGTCTGCCCCTACGTTATTAAATTAAATATCTTCTAAATGAGAATCCATACATCGCACAGGGCTATGATTTACGTAAACAACTGTTCTGTTATGACGTCGCATGTCTACTACCAACGTAAGTTTAGATCAGTGACATCCAGATGAAGCTGAGTGGTCAAGCGACATTCCACGATTGCATTGTGGGAATGTAAACATTGCGAACGTTACCGTGTTGCTGAAAACTTGTGAGTCGAATTGAGACATTTTAACCGTCGGAAAACATAAACGTAATGTTTCCACCAGTGATGTTAGCTGCGTGAAGCAACTGCAAACCAAGAAACGGGATGCAACGGAGTAGTTTACTGTAGGAGGCTGTACGAGGCGATGACAAATGACATGCACCGTGACGTCGCTTACATTGTGACGTAATGCAAAATTGTTCGATTACGAGGTGGGCAGACTAGAATGGGGCAGTGACGACAATACATTGTGACGTAATGCAAAATGTGCACATTATCGTCTGATAAAGTTCTGTCGGCGCCTTTGATCTTTCACCGAAGCATCTTAGAATGGTTCATAAATGAGATAGATAAGACCAAGGAGCACGGGCACCCAAACAGGAATTCAGGGCAGCTTAGGATTTGAACCCACAGACGTTGGTTTCTGGCACGCCTTGGGTACACAACTCTGTAAAGCGAATGCGGCCCCTTAAATAAATCTTACGACAATCGTAGCGCTAAGGTGATCGTCGCTCGCATACTTTAACATAGACTTACGACAGCTATCGTATACTTTAATATAGTGCAATCGTAGCGCTGAGGTGATCGTCGCTCGCATACTTAACATAGACTTACGACAGTCGTAGCGCTGAGGTGATCGTCGCTCGCATAACATAGACTTACGAACATAGACTAACATAGACGACAGTCGTAGCGCTAAGGTGATCGTCGCTCGCATCACATACTTCGTCGCTCACAACATAGACTTACGACAATCGTAGCGCTAAGGTGATCGTCGCTCACATACTTTAACATAGACTTACGACAGTCGTAGCGCCGAGGTGATCGTCACTCATGCGTGCGAGCGACGATCACCTAAGCGCTACGATTGTTGTAAGTCTATATTACATATCGAGCGACGATCACCTTAGCGCTACGATTGTCGTAAGTCTATATTAAAGTATGTTAACACAGACTTACGACAGTCGGAGCGCTGGGGTGATCGTCGCTCCATACTTTAACACAGACTTAGGACAGTCGGAGCGCTGAGGTGATCGTCGCTCCATACTTTAACACAGACTTTCAACAGTCGGAGCGCTGGGGTGATCGTCCCTCCCGTACTTTAACACAGACTTACGACAGTCGTAGCGCTGAGGTGATCGTCGCTCCATACTTTAACACAGACTTACGACAATCGTAAGCCCTTAGGTGATCGTCACTCCCTTACTTTAACACATATTTACGACAGTCGTAGCACTGAGGTGATCGTCACTCCTGTACTTTAAGATAGACTTACGACAGTCGTAGCACTAAGGTGATCGTCGCTCCATACTTTAAGATAGACTTACGACAGTCGTAGCCCTTAGGTGATCGTCGCTCCATAATTTAACATAGACTTACGACAGTCGTAGCACTGAGGTGATCGTCGCTCCATACTTTAACATAGAATTACGACAGTCGTAGCACTGAGGTGATTGTCGCTCAATACTTTAACATAGACTTACGACAGTCGTAGCACTGAGGTGGTCGTCGCTCCATACTTTAACACAGACTTACGACAGTCAGACTCCCGTACTTTAACACAGACTTACGACAGTCGTAGCGCTGAGGTGATCGTCGCTCCCATACTTTAACACAGACTAAAGCCCTTAGTGATCGTCGCTCCCTTACTTTAACCATACTTTAACATAGACTTACGACAGTCGTAGCACTGAGGTGATCGTCGCTCCATACTTTAACATAGACTTACGACAGTCGTAGCACTGAGGTGATCGTCGCTCCATACTTTAACATAGACTTACGACATCGTAGCACTGAGGTGATCGTCGCTCCATACTTTAACATAGACTTACGACAGTCGTAGCGCTAGACTTACGACAGTCGTAGCACTGAGGTGATCGTCGCTCCATACTTTAACATAGACTTATCGACAGTCGTAGCGCTGAGGTGATCGTCGCTCCATACTTTAACATAGACTTACGGCAACCGTAGCGCTAAGGTGATCGTCGCTCCCGTACTTTAACATAGACTTACAACAGTCGTAGCGCTACGATCACTTTGTGGGGCGGTTTTCTAACAAACCCAGAAAGAAGATGTCATACCAAATATATGAAAAAATCTTTTCATTTTCTGGTTGTATTTTTCAGTGGTTCGGTAACTTGGTGTCTCCCCTGTGGTGGAACTGGCTGTGGCTGAACGAGGCTTTCGCTTCCTTCTGGGACTACCACGTTGTGGGGGAGATCTACCCTTCCTGGAGGAAGGTAACATATGCAAACACACGCGAACACACGAACAATTACACTTGAGTGCTACACACAGAATCATAAGCGCAAGCACGCACCAACAGAGCAGTATTCATACGCACACACAGAAACGTCTACGTACGTGCACACACACAAGCAGTGAGGGAATGTGTGAGTTTAGTTTCCCGTCGCTTTAGAAATATTTCACCAGTCGGTGTGGGGGACATAAAAAATGGGTTTCACACTTTGTACCCATGTGGGGAATCAAACCCTGGTCTTCGGCCTGACGAGCAAACGCTTCAACGACAAGGCTACCCCAATGCCCCGCACATACACGTACGCACAAACGCAAAGATAGGCACGTACACGAACACGCACGCGTGCACACTACCATTCACGCTCGAACATACACGTGGAGAAATGAACACACAAACACGCACAGAGACAATCAATCTCTGAGACACAAGCAGTCATTTAGACACACACATCACGCACACACTCACACACACACAGATCATACTCGACTACACAGTTTACTTTGACAATTTCTAGTTGACCGGAGCTGTTTTCTACAAGGTAAGGAATTGAGTATCATATAACCCATACAGCGGTTAATGTCTTCTAATGATGATATGGGTGTTTCAGCTTGACCTGCACGTACCTACTAATGTTCACGGTGCCATGTCTGTGGACAGTCTGAGGACGTCACACCCTCTCACAGCTGACGTCATGACCCCCTGGGGAGATCAGCGGTATATTTGATACCATCACATACTCTAAGGTGGGGCTATAGAAGTACCATTGTAAACGTTCATGATGGAAGCAAAGTTGCCCTGGCTGATATCCCGTGTGTCTGTGTTTGTTGGTGTGTTTATGTGAGACAGTCTGTGAGAGTGTGTGTTTGTGTGGCTATGTGTGTGAGACTGTATGTGTGTGAGATTGTGTGTGTAAGTGAGAGTGTATGTTAGTGAGAGTGTGAGTGAGAGCGCATGTGAGCGAGTGTATGTGAGTGAGAGTTAGCGAGTGAGTTTAGATTTTCGCCGCTTTTAGCAACTTTAGCAAAATCACAAATGGGTGAGTGAGAGCGTATATGTGTGATAGTGTGAGTGAGAGTGTATGTGAGACAGTATATGTGATTGAATGTGTGTGAGTGTCTGTAAGAATGTGTGGAAGGATGTGCTTTGTCAAATGTAAGTGCCATGGATCGTCCCTTAGATCATGGAAGGCTGGTACTGAGTGATGAGCAACTCACTCACTCACTCACTCACTCACTCACTCACTCACTCACTCACTCAACTCACTCACTCAACCACTCAACCACTCAACCCACTCATCTCTCTCACTCACTCACTCACTCATACACTACTGCTTTACTCTGTATCCTTGAACTGACTACGTTATTGTTCTTTTTGCAGGGATCTGCTATAATCCGGATGATGCACCTCGTCATGGGACAAGACGCCTTCATCCGTGGTCTTAATGTAGGATATATTGTTGTCGGTGTATAGCCCAATGTAACATGACATCACTGATCCAGAGAGAAGGAGATAGACAATACTGTCATAGCTGTTGGTTTTATAGAGTATTAAGTGCGTGCATATGTCGACATTTAAACCTTTCAATTTGCTTTAAAGCATGAGAAATAGCTCTGACAAAATCTGATAATGTTGATCTTTTAATCAGTTTCATAATAATTTAACAAAGTCTCAATTTACCATCAGAGAGAAACAGTTTCCCCTATTACAGAGTACAAACCTAACTATACTGTGTTTTAGAGTGGAATGGTTTGATCAGATAGGCTTCATTATTTGTGTTCGTAGCGTTATCTGGAAGCACAAAAGTTTGGGAACGCAGAACATCAGGACTTATGGGATGCTCTTACTGAGGTAAGATGTATGCTCTTTTCTTATGCTGGTTTTCGTCGATGATTGGGATTTTAGCCCCAGTCACCCGAAAAGCAACAATTCTTTATGCACAGTCTCGTGTCTTCGACTTTTAAGAAACCTGCGACTGTATGTTCCAATGCCATATTTGTTGGCCAATTTAGTTTGTGTCAAGTTTCACTCAGCGCCACTCCCGTACTCATTTTCACCACAATGAGAGCCTTGTTACATCCAAACCACCTCAGGCTTTCATCTTACGTCATGGATTGCCGTGATATAATTTAAAAATACTGTTAAACCTCCCTGAATGGTAAAACCTGGTGTTCGGACAAGATATATCTATGACTGGACGATCAAAGTTGACAAAGTGATTTTTCTCTCTTCTAATATACTCTACTTCGTACAGTTCCTATGTCCAATACTGCCTAATATTTACAGGAAGCCATTGGTAGTGTACTGAAACATGGCATTGTGTACCGTTTCAATGTAATCACATCGGAACATCACAAAATGCTCCACTTCATGCAGTTCCTATGTTCAATACTAATTGTTTACAGGAATCCACTGACAGTGGACTCGGTCTGGACATGACCGAGGTGATGGACCCCTGGGTGACCCAGATGAACTTCCCTGTGGTCAAGGTTTCCGTCACAGCAACTAAAGTCACATTCACTCAACAACGATTCCTCGTCTCGGGTGCAGAAGATGCCAGTCAAGATGTGGGCACATACGGGTATGTCTGTGATGGCAGTGTAAGTCCTGGTAACATACTGAAGTCTGGCACCAATCCGGTTTTCGGTATCATAATCATATTAAAGTGCTTGAAAGATAAATTATTGAAAAATGTGTTTAACGTGATTAAGATGGATGGGAAAGGATTAGGAATTGTAGTAAGTAGTAGTTGTGTTGTAAACTATACTGTTTAAGAATATTTGTTGCAGCTACAAGTGGACGATTCCAATCACGTTCACCGTCAGCAACAACATTAACTTCACCGAAGAATACGCTTACGACAACATCCACTACATGAATGTTAATGGAGATCCCCGTGAGTATATAAACATAGCACGGCTAGGTGTTCCATGTGAGTTATAGTAGGGGAGGCACGCGATGGAAACTGTCTGGCAAAGAATAGTATGTGCAGGCAATAGTCGCGGAAACATTGTAAACCCAAGGTCCAACACACAACTGTGATATCGTATTGGGTACATCACCATGGATTACTCAGTAAGCTTTGTTATATACTAGCCATCATCAAAGATGGGTGTAGTTTGTTTTGCCTGGCAGTTTCATGTAAATGTGTTTATGAAGGGATTGGTCATTAGTATTAATAGGGTCGACGACCGAGCAGACCATCGATCTAGCCGTAAATCGTCCGTCCATCTGTCCTATTGTCTGCCCGTCCGTCAGTCTGTCCAACCCTCCATCCAATTGTCTGTCCATCCATCCATCAATCGCCCATCCATCATCCGTCATCCATCCATTCATCCATCCATCCCTCCCTCCCCTCCATTATCCATCCCTCAATCAATCCTTCCATCCACCATCCATTAATCCGTGCATCCATCTACCCACCACCCATCCAGTCAGCCAGCCAGCCACCCTCTCACCCAGCCAGCCAGCCACCCATCCATCCATCCATCCACCCATCATCCATCCATCCCCATCCATCCATCCATCCATCCATCCATCCACCCACCCACCCATCCATCCATCCATCCTCCAATCCATCCACCCATCCATCCATCCACCCACCCTCCCATCCATCCATCCATCCATCCATCCACCCATCCATCCATCCATCCATCCACCACCCACCCACCCATCCATCCATCCATCCATCCATCCATCCATCCATCCATCCATCCATCCATCCACCATCCATCCATCCATCCATCCATCCATCCATCCACCCACCCACCCATCCATCCATCCATCCATCCATCCATCCATCCATCCATCCACCATCCACCCACCCATCCCAACCATCCATCCATCCACCCACCCACCCATCCATCCATCCATCCATCCATCCATCCATCCAGCTAACCATCCATCCATCCATCAAACCATCCACCCACCCCACCCATTCATCCATCCAAATCCATCCATCCATCACCCACCCATTCATCCACAATCCATCCACCCGACCCACCAACCATCCATCCACCCATCCACCCAAATCCATCCACCCACCCATCCATCCATCCATCCACCCACCCACCCACCCATCCATCCATCCATCCATCCATCCATCCATCCATCCACCCATCCATCCATCCATCCATCCATCCATCCATCCATCCACCCACCCACCCATCCATCCATCCATCCATCCATCCATCCATCCACCCACCCATCCATCCATCCACCCACCCATTCATTAATCCATCAATCCATCCATCCATCCATCCCATCCATCCATCCATCCATCCATCCATCCACCCATCCACCCATCCATCCATCCATCCATCCATCCACCCATCCACCCACCCATCCATCCATCCATCCATCCATCCATCCCACCCACCCATCCATCCATCCATCCATCCATCTCTGTAGGGTGTATATGACACATATGTGATGTTCTAGTGGAGGTTGGTGTAGCTGTCCCACCTGACGGCTGGATCATCGTCAACATACAGGAGTGTGGTTTCTACCGCGTCAACTACGAAGATCAGATCTGGGAAAACATAATAGACTTCATGTCAACCAACCACGAGGTAAACTTGATTAAGAATGTGTCTCTACCGAAGTACTGAATGCTTGGCCGTAGTCTTTCACCTACATCTGGAATACCTTAAGGCAGGCATTTCTGTTCAATTTTTGCAGTTTTTAAACGTTGTATACCACCATCCAACACGACACAGTCAAGGAAAAACTTCATTCCTTGATCCATGGCACATTTGTTAATAAACGTGGTGAACACAGATATCCTTAAGTAACTATCGTCAGTGGTTTGGGACAGTTTGTAAAATATGAAAGCAAAATTTTAGAGAAAAGGGTTTATTGAGAAAACAGATGTGAAATGCTGGAATCATTGCCGGAGACATCTATGTAAAAAGATAGGCAGTAAAACATTGAGACAAGAAGTAAGCATCCCCATGGTTACCACTGCCGGCCTGTTTTATGCATATTAATCAGAAATTAAGAACATGGAATTTAACGAAGAAGTTTAACTTAACGATCATGTACATCAATGATCTAATATCGTTCAACAACCATACAATGGCCAATTCCCTACCCACCTGAACTTGGAATAAAAGAGACCAGTGAGTCGGCCTCATGTGTTTTATATTTGGATCCGAGATTCAGAGCGACAAACTCCCCTCAAGGCTGTATTAGGAAATGGATGGTTTCAACTTTTAACAGTCAACTTTCCTTCATGCAATATTTCAACATTTCAGGCTTGGGTGTTTTGGTGTTTACTTTTGAGTATAATCGAGCTGTTCCTTTCATTAAAGAGCGTCATACCACTCTTGCTCAGAACTTGTTCAATCAAGGTTACAACATTAAAGGCCTCAGTAAAGCTTACGAATGGTCGACATTTCAAAATTTGATGTATCTGTGTCAATACTGATGTCCGATGCAAATCCCTATTTTGCCAGGTAACAACCGATTAGTCTTTGCATTGATATAGGACGGTGCCACCGGTGGGGCGGGGCACGCTCAACTTTTCGAGAACACTTGCTTCCATCAGAATTGTACAATCGTCTCTGCCTTCAGCAGATTTCGTTTGTACGTGGAAAGAATTTTGTCGATTTTGTTAAAATAATAGAAGGCGGAACTTTCCACTTAACGTTTGAATATACATGTATGCAGGCAGTCAATTCCGTTTGATTTGTTAAACTTTTGAATACTTTGGTGCAGTGAGATTGGAATACAGGTGTAACGATAAGGAACAATATGAAGAGCTTGGTTATCACTCTCTCGTATGTATTATTATTATTACTAATATTCTCTCATATGTATTATTATTATTACTAATATTCTCTCATAAGTAGTATTATTATTACTAATATTCTCTCTCATGTATTATTATTATTACTAATACTCTCTCTCATATGTATTATTATTATTACTAATATTCTCTCATATGTATTATTATTATTACTAATACTACTGTATTATTATTATTACTAATACTCTCTCATATGTATTATTATTTACTAATATTCTCTCATATGTATTATTATTATTACTAATACTCTCTCATATGTATTATTATTATTACTAATATTCTCTCATATGTATTATTATTATTACTAATACTCTCTCATATGTATTATTATTATAATATTCTCATATGTATTATTATTATTACTAATACTCTCTCATATGTATTATTATTACTGATACTCTCTCATATGTATTATTATTATTACTATGTATTATTATTATTACTGATACTCTCTCATATGTATTATTATTATTACTAATACTCTCTCATATGTATTATTATTATTACTAATATTATCTCATATGTATTATTATTATTACTTATATTCTCTCATATGATCATTAACGATGCTTGGTACTAATGGCAAAGTGAGTACACTCTCCCACTGGTCATCCCGTGGTAACTAAATGCTGTTGTTATAAGCTTTTATTGGTCATTCTGGTCTCAAGTTGTCATTACAGCGTAAATACTGCTGTATTACTAAATGCTGTTGTTATAAGCTTTTATTCCCCATTCTGGTCTCAAGTTGTCATTACAGCGTAAATACTGCTGTATTACTAAATGCTGTTGTTATAAGCTTTTATTCCCCATTCTGGTCTCAAGTTGTCATTACAGCGTAAATACTGCTGTATGAGGATGTATCAGGGTTCTGTTCGCCGTTCATCTGTCATGTTGTCATGGTATGCTAAATGCTGCAGCAATACAACGTTCTAATGTCAACACCTAAATGAAAGCTGGGTGATCACTAACTAATACACAGAAAAGGAATGAGAGTGTCAGACATTGTGACATGCCAACAGATTTTGTGACATATCGTCATGTTAACACACAGTGTACATAACAATACACCCTTCTACAGGGCAGGCCTGCTGGCTCAGTCTATCGCCCTTAAGACAGTCAACTACCTCAGTAAGGATCTGGATTATGCCCCTTGGCGAGCCTTCAGCCGGGAACTTGGCTACGTGGAAAACATGTTAGAACGGACTCCATTGTATGGAATGTTTCAGGTAGAGAATTTCACATTTAAGATAAATTTCATTCACGCTTTAAGAGAATGTGCATGTGACTTTACATAACAAACAATCGTCTGGACATGTGTGGCCACCAACCTACTGGGACAAGTTACCGCAGCTGCAAAACTGAGTCTCAGTGAGTGAGTGAGTGAGTATGGTTTTACGCCGCTTTTTAGCAATATTCCAGCAATATCACGGCGGAGGACACCAGAAATGGGCTTCACATATTGTACCCATGTGGGGGAATCGAACCCGGGCCTTCGTCGTGACGAGCGGACGCTTTAACCACTCGGCTACCCCACCGCCCCCTCAGTAAGTGTGTGTGTGTGTGTGTGTGTGTGTGTGTGTGTGTGTGTGTGAGAGGAGTGTTTTGTCTACTACTTAATTTATGTATTATTTTACCTGTCATGGGAAGCCCGGAGATTTAAATGTCAACTTTGACAGATCGCACACAGTCAGCTATAATTTGCATTCAGTCAAATGCGGTACATCATTACCAAATACATCGTATAAATTTCACAGACAGGCAGACAGACTGTCTGAGTCTGTCTGTCTCTCTGTCATCTGTCTGTCTGACTTCTGTCTGTCTGTCTGTCTGTCTGTGCGTGTGTATACATTTCATTTGTGTTACAGGTGTTCATGAACAAAACAGTTGCCACTCCGTATTCTTCCCTTGGAACCAACATCACAGAGGACATGCCGCCAGTAGACAAGTGAGTGTCTTTACATGAGGTGCTACATGAAGAAGCTGTACCTCTTGTGTCGCGTGGTCTTGTGCATAGAGTCCAGGTCACAAATCAGGTACCGCCTCCGTGGTGTAGTGGTAAGAGCGTCCGCCCGGAGAGCGGAAGGTCGTGGGTTTGATGCCCGACCGCGTCATACCAAAAGACGTTAAAATATGGTTCTTGTTGGTCCCTGCCTGGCGCTCGGCATTAATGGGTACAACAAGGACTGGTCAGCTCGGAGTCAGTATAATGTGTCTGAGTGGGGTATTCATGCTTCACTGCGGCATGGTATCTCAGTGGGCTAGCACTATAAAACCAGCTTAAGTCTGGGCTAGTACAAGCAGCCGCACATACACATACACACGCATGCACGTCGTCATATGAGCGAAATATTCTCAAGCACGACGTTAAACCCAACATCACCTCACCTCCACCTCACCTCACCTCACAAATCAGGTGAAGTTAAGCAACGGGCGCGGAGAGTCCTTCATTGGGTGACCGTGTTTGGGTGATGGGTGACCGAGTTTCTGGGACTTCAGTCCTGCCCCACAACGAAGCACATGTGATACATGTGGTCTCATATTAGGCAAGTGAGTTTGTTCAAAACTGCCTCTGTTCACCCAGCAGAAAATGGGTACCAGGGGGGATAGTCATGTCACTATAACCCTCTAGCGCCTAACAGGCAGCTTGGGTTATACCGGAGTTATAATAATCAGATTGTTCGGGCGCTTCGAGCATGCATTGTGCATGGAGCAATGTGCAGGATGAATGGACTATTTTATTATTATTATTTGTTTATTTATTTGGCAGGTATATGACAGCGGTCATTAAATTATAGAGTCTGTCCTAAACAATCTAAATGAATGATTTACTTCATGAACATCGATCTATGTAATTGCCAATCGATGGCATGCAACAATCAAGTCACAGTCTGACCACCCGATTCCGTTAGTCGCCTCTTACAACAAGCATGGGTTACTGAAGACTAATTCTAACCCGAGTCTTCAAAGGGGAGCCAGGCGCGGTTTTTTACCCATACCTTTTATGGCAGATATGAAGCAAAAGCACGTTGTGTTTTTTGATAATGGGCTGGAGATGTAGGACCCTGGATAACCGAAGATGGATCCAATGTTGCAGGATTGAGATTGCTCAGATGGTGTCCATGGCCTGTAACTATGACTACCAAGAGTGTGTGGACACAGCTGTGAACAATATGGACAACTGGATGGCCGGCCAGCCCAACAGGTAGGTGGAACAAGGCTGACCGACAAACGAGAAATCAAATAAGTGAATACATATTGCAGATTTGAACAGTAATAGAAATTAATAGCTGGGAACATGTCTGTGTATTGAAATACACCTGCTCTGCTGGGTCATTGCAAATCTGTCCATTACCTTTCAGTAATGGAGACTTTCCCTGAGAAAAGTCACCATTACCAACATGGAATAGTACTCATTACTTAAATAGAACAAACACAACTTTATACTTTATCGATTATTTTGATTGTTTTCCCAGAAATTACAGTTAGTTGACATTCACACTAACAGTAACAGAAATGTTGTTTTTTAACTGTCATCAGACTTCTCTATGTTAGTACTAGAACAGGCGGTAGAACTGGCTGACCCAGGAACTGAAGCATGACCTTGCAGAAGAGAACTCAACTTCCTTTTTTGAGCCGAGTTGGCAGGCTTATAGCTCCTCACTGTGCTTGACCGGTGCCCAGTTACCTCGCATATCAATTGCTCGTCAACACCAGCCTCAAACAAACGAGTAACGGCTGTGGCGCGTAGCGAGTAGTTGGTCCTATGTTCGGTCAATCCAGCTCTTTGGCAAATGTCCGACACCGTAGCAGCTAGACTGTGGCGGCCAACTGCTTGACTGCTGTACCATACGTCGCCCACTGGATTTCGTAATGGTCGCAAGTAGAAGGGGTCACTGTCTGTTTTGGGGTCTATGGGTTAAATATTTTTAAAAGAGTTCAACCAAACACCTTTCTGGCTTGTCAACGTTCTCATAGGCCCGCACAGATTTTGCTTTACACTTCCGATGCTTAAGCCCCCCCTGATTGGACTTAGATAAGACGTCCTCAGTATAGATCAGAACACGTCCGTGTTGATCAGACGATAACGAGAACTGAGAAGTCCTTCCGACGCGCAAATTTCGGTGTTCCTGGCCACCTCTGAGGGCGAAATTAATCCCAACCAAGTAGAAAATAGTGTCCAATAATTGCTTAGGGTTATCACTCCCAAGAACACCTTTTGCCCATGGAACTTCCTCCTCCTCTGGCGTGATCACTTCGGCTTGAACCGGTGGCTTACTGGATGGATCCTTAGCGCGACGTTTCATCATGTTATCCAGGGTGTTCTTTATTTGCAAAAAGGCGTCATCCGTTAAGAACTTGTGGGCTTTGCTAATGCTGTCCATGTGTAACTGGAGGCAGATCACAAGTCCATATAACGTGTCAGACAGGAAATCAGTGCCGTCCGTCTTCTTCACCTCACAGACAAATCTGTATAGTTCAATTCGTCAACGCTCATTTCCTCCAGTGGTACCATAATGAAGCTTAGGTTCCTGTAAGTGTCCGCTGCTAGTTTGTTTCTGTTACTTTGCCATTCTCTGAATAAAGTTGTAGCCCATTTCATTTTTGATACTGTGATGTCGGCAAACATGAAAGGTCAAAAGTCAAATGATAAGATATAGAGTATATGATATCATAAACTAATATATACTAAACTTCAACTTTAAATACTCCAAAGTGTTCGAAACTGACGACAGACAATAAACTGAGAACGGTCATAAATGTTAAACACAATCGCTAACAGAATTAACAAAACGAATCTGTACATGTTATTGTAACATCTCTGAAGCTTTCTGAAAATCTCTAAGAGACGAGTAAGATTTAACGTAATAATTATTATAACACAATCACTTTATAAATGCCAATTCCATTTCATGTTCGGAGAAAGCATACAAAACAAATCCAGTACAAATGTTAAAGTTTACCGTGCGCGTTACTTTATATACTTTTGAAAACAATTCTAGAATTATCATTTTAAAGTAAACATCCGAAAAGAACGTGTACTTATTTTTTGGTTTGTAGATCATTCAGTATGTTGTCAGGAACGGGCTCGTGAAAACGACTGCCACTGTGGGTAACCGACGTCTCCGACGCGTTCCCTCCCTTCTTGTCAGTTTCATACGTAGTTTCATACGTTGATTGCTTCTCAGCGACTATACAAGATGCCACTAACTCGTCATCCGACTGAGTGATTTTGTCACCGAAACCCTCCAAAACGTCACCAACAATAACTTTATCAGCAGTTTCATCTGAAGATATATCCGAATATTGCGTTGTGTATGTTGACTGGGTCAAAAACATGGCATCATCATCTGAGCTGTCGATGTCCATCCTTATGACTGTCTTCTGACACGTGGTTCAAGTAATGGAGACATACGGGTTTTCGCGCACAAAATCACGTGCATTTTATACCATTATTAAAGTAATGGAGACATACGGGTTTATACAACCCAAACGTGCAAGGTATGACATTTGCTGACGTAATGGAGACAAACGGGGTGACACGGGTACAAAGCACGTCGAGTTATTTCATTTGGTGAAGTAAGGGGGACATACGGGTTTACACGCATACAACGCACGTGAAAAGTAGCAGTTCGTTCTTTGACGCATAGAGGGTCTCCACGAAGGAGAGAGTTGATTTAATACATTTACCGAATACAAGCGGATATTTTTTTCTAAAATGGTTTATTAAGGTTTAACTGAAAAAAATATTTGGTGTTCATTAATCTGCATTGTATTCCCCGTAGGTTTGGAGTATTTTAAGTCGGAGAAAGTCCTCGTATCTGTCCATTCCTGAAAGTTAATGTAGCCTCGGACCTTCGGGCCTCGTCTCCATTACCTTTCAGGAATAGACAGATACGAGGACTTTCTCCTATACGTAAATACCATGTACCGGGGAATAATCATTGTACTATGCGACGACAAGCATACTAGATATATACTGTTCCTACATAACGGCATTTATTACACGGATAATAAAGGGTAAATTGGAAAAGAATTGCCATATTGCGCATATAAACAATAATAATTGATGTTCCATATTTCTTGTTCATTTTCCATAAATGCCGACCCGATGTTGTAGCAAATATATATGACAAACGTGTCATAGCTACGAGGATTGGAATGGTTGTTTCGTAAACTTGGGTTATTCGGGGTAAGATGTCATGTTGTATTAGCTTGGAGCATGTCCCTGTGGCATGGGGATCAACGCTAGATAAGTGACCATATTGATAAAACATTAAAAGGTTGGCTCAAATACCGTTGAGAATAGAGACTGATTTCAATTATTCCTCTACAGTTTGTCAAATGTTTCAATCTGGCTTGAAACTCTTTATTTCTACACATTGGTAGGCATTCTTTTTTGCTTGAGGCACCCTTAGGACAACAGCTATTCTGATCCAGACTCACCAAGGGTCATAGATTGGACGTCAGCAAGCGTTAACGTCTACCCTCTTGTTGACGTAGCAGCGTCAGACGTTATCAATGTCGATGTAGATGGTGATAATGTTGTTGGAGACATCTCCTAATGTAGACAACAGTTGAATTTGCAGGTTCCAATGCAGAAAGTCAGTTGTAGCTGTATCACGAGGGGTATCTGGTTTTAAGCATCCTGCGTTTGATGCAGGTATACGAACCGACATGGGGACACAGCAAACCACATGTGCCCCTATTGATATACATATCAATACATATTATTTTTGATATCCTGCCTGTTACACCACTGAACTTTCTGCAACTTACTGGAACAGTAAACCAAATCAACAGCCATATGATGCTTTGGATTACTTAATAATCATCATTGGAGAACGGCTTTCCAACATGTGGCATTGGAAAACAAATGATATCAACAGTTAAGATTAAAATGTACAAATTCAAAGAATACTGTGACACCAATGACATTTTGTGTTACACCACTGATTTTTCTTTACCTCACTCTAAATATAAATCCAAATTAATTGCCTTTAATTGATAATTAACAGATTTAAACAGCTCAACAGCAAATTCTGAACACTCAGATTTTTTAAAAGGTTTTAAAAATAATATACAAAGCAATAAAATGAACAAATTGTAGTAATATTGTTACACCAATGACATTTTTGTTACACCACTGATTTTTATTGAATTAACTTCAACGATAAATTCAAATTAATTGCCTTTAATTGATCATTAATAGAATTGAACAGCTCAATAGCAACTTTTGAACACTCAGATTTTAAAAGGTTTTTCAAAATAATATTAAAACAATAAAATGAACATATTGTAGTAATACTGTTACACCAATGACATTTTTGTTACACCACTGATTTTTCTGAACTTTATATACTAATATACCAGAACAAATTACCTTCACAGACTTTACATGAGTTAATGGTCATAAAATATACTGGATAAATACAATGCAAAGCAGCTGAGTTTTGTGAACAAGTGACTTAAATGAATATTTTGCCAGTGGTGTATAAACAAAATTGTCAGTGGCGTAACATTTTCCCATGTTATACCACTGACAGTTACACCACTGACCTATTCCCACTTTTATGAACTTTATAACAATTAATGCTCCCTAACCACAGACCACCTGGCATAAATGTTGATGTTTTTAGCAACTTTGATGTACTTTTAAATAAACATTGTTATGAAAAGAACACATGAATAAGAAATCAACGTTACATCACTGACTCGATAAAAAGTTATGGTCTTGCCCACCATTTAATCCGTCATTGTAATGGGATTGAAATTTGATTTGAAAAAAGCGATCAACTTGATCAACAATATCCAGGTATTTGTTTCATAATCGAGATGTATAAAGGGGTTAATTCCTCCCAGGCGGAATTAAAGTTTTATCAAGATCTCATGGACCAATCAGATCTAACCAGTCAGACATGAAGGTAAGATGGCCGTGTGTACCATCTGATATATTCTGATATGTGACTCCGGAAGTATTTATTTGAAGCATGTATCCGGACCTGGGCAGTATGTACTATTGTACAGCCGTGTATACCATCTTGTATATTCTGACATGTTAACCCGGAACTACTTATTTGCAGCATGTATCCGGACCTGCGCAGTACGTACTATTGCACAGCCGTGAGACACGGAGGACTGGAACACTGGCAGTTTGTATATGAGAAATACCACACGGAGCAGAGTAGCTCTGAGAAGAGTAGACTGAGACGAGCCTTGTCTTGCACCACAGAAACCTGGCTGCTGCAGAGGTTGGTGTTAAACAAGGAGTTATTTTGTGGGGGCTTCGATTTGGGGTTTCAGTTAATTTCGTGACAATTTGAGTATTTATTCACATAATTCGATTATTTTCTCGAAAATCCGAAAGGATTATCGACGTATCGAGAATGAATCGAAATTTCAAGTTTTTAAATAAATTTGAAACAAGAAGAATATATTTCAAATCATAATATGTAATCGAATTTCTTTTTTAAAAAAGACATTTATGCTACAAAAGTGGCACCATTAGTCAACTGGACTGCCATAGCTCTTATTCAACAGGACTGCCTTCTTAGCTCACAGCTCTATTCAACAGGACTGCCTTAGCTCACATTCTCTTATTCTCAACATACTAACTAATAGAAAAACCCATTGAATGACATTTAGAAGTTATATACATCGATTCTTTAAAACTGAGGAGCACAATATTTCAGAGCATATGCTTATTGTATCGAAATGACACATGTAATGCGCCCATCCACTACCTCAAGAGCTCACATTTCGATATCCCTACACTAATCTTAGCGTACATTTACCTGAAGATATAGAGGATACAATCTCCCGAACGGAACTATTACCTATATTATATACACTAAAATATCTAACAAGTAACAACTTTCTATAAAATGTTTTTCTTCAGCTCAAACTATAAATGACATGTTTCCCCTCGTGGATAATTTCAAGGCTGAGTCCAACTCAGGTCTAGATTGATTGGACAAGTCCAGGTATCTCAGCTCAAGTCTGAAATTAGGCATTGTTCTTGGGTCCATTTAAATTATGTTTGTCTCAGAATTATATAAATGTTTCTCAAAGAACAAAGAACTCGATCTATACTTTTATAGAAGACTTCATTTCTGAGACTAAATGTCGGTCTGCACTTGCCCAGGTTGCTAGACATGTCGGTCAACGCCAGCGAGGTCCGGCCCCAGGACGCTCGGACCACCATCACCTATGTGGCGAACAGCCCGTGGGGGCGTGACCTAGCCTGGAACTTCGTCACGTACAACTATGCCCGTCTCACTGAAGTGTAAGTCTGCATCATGTATAAGGACCCGTGAAGATCCGGGTTAGAATTGCTCTTCAGTAACCCATGCTTGTCGTAAGAGGCGACTAACGGGATCGGGTGGTCAGGATCGATGACTTGGTTGACACAGGTCATCGTATCCCAATTGCGTACATCGATGCTCATAACAGGATTGTCTGGACCAGACTCGAACATTTCATCGATCTAAGCAATTGGAATATAGAAAATCTCATCCAAGTGTCTACTGATATCAATTATATCAACACGAGTTGATAAAGTTACAAATATCCGAGGCTTGCCGAGGATATGTTTACCTTTATCAACGAGTGTTGATATAATTGATATCAGTAGACACGAGGGTGAGATTCTGTTTATCATCAAAAATCATTCATTATTAGATTTCAATGAAAAATGTACATCTCTCAACACTACTACCATCATCAAGTTGATGACGTCATAGCATTGTCAGGGCATTGTACAAAATCTACTGTCAAAACGATATCTCTTAGGAGATATCATGATCTCACACAAGCGATATCTCCTGTGGAACACAGTTTTGGATGATAAATTGTGACACGTGTGGACCAAATCAGCGAAACTGATTCAACCTTGTTCAACCTGGTTCATGGTTCAATACCGTCATCTTTCAGTTGTTTCTGAATTTTGTAGTTGCGTGTTTTGATCGGTTCTGTTTCCTCTGTTCACGTGTGTCAAGTAACTTATGTTTCCAAGTAAAAATCGTCTCCAGCATATAGAGACTCATCCGAGAAATCAGCTTCAGTTATGTTCCGTTTGCTCTGTTCACATGATCATATAAAATATTTCACAGAATTCAGTCCGTTTCCGGCGTGGGGAGACTTCTGCGTGAAATCAGCGTCAAATTCAACACTGAACAAGAATACAAAAAGGTACAGCTAGGGTTTTGTTTCGGATGTTTGTTTGTTTTTCTTTTTATCATCTTATTAGCTATTGAGTCCTCATTGCAAAATCTATGTTAATGTTACTGTGGTAGCGCCGTCCATGTCGGTGGTGACAGTAGTGACTGAGTGAGTGAGAGAGTGAGTTTAGTTTTACGCCGCTTATAGCAATACTCCAGCAATATCACGGCGTACACCAGAAATGGGCTTCACACATTGTACATATGGAGAATCGAACCCGGGTCTCCGGTATGACAAGCGAACGCTTTAACCACAAGGCTAACCCCACCCCACCCCACCCCCCACCCCCCTGCTCACAGTAGTGGTTAAAGTGGAGACTATAATGCGCCATAAAACAATATTAAGTTACATTGCCCAAATTAAACGTTTCCATCTGTTGACGGTTTTGGATCAGAAAACTTATAATGATAATAAAACTTAAAATAATATAATTTTGGTGTAGCCTTGCGGTTAAAGCAAAGCCCATTTCTGTTGTCACCTGCCTTGAGTTTGCTGCAGCATTGGTAAAAGCCGTATTAAACTCAACCCATTTACGCACTGATGGGATGATCGTGTCACCGTATTTCGATGGCGTGGAACGTTGCTTATAATATCAATCACGGGTTTGTCGGATCAAGACATGTAGTTATTTATCTTGCCTCACACATAAATGTCGTTTTCTGATTGGCTGAGCGCTCTTCTATTATTTTCAATGTACCCAGCGTACAAGCGAGTAACATTTTCTATGTACCCCGCTGGTAATGCCGAACTCATTTGGTACTTCGTAGTAGTAATGCTTTATCTCGAATAACATTGAATCACGTATGATGTACGGAAATTACCGATGTTTTGCGAATGCAAATCGATAGAAGGGAGATAACTCTAAATTAGTTTTTCTTGTCTTGTCGTCTGGTACTCCATACTATGATCCGATACCCGTGCTTCAAACAGTTCTAAATTACCATTGAGGTGTTCTGTAAGATAAATAGGTTGTTCACTGGTCCCTGAGGGCGAGGGTCCCTGAACATAAAGAAACATCGAGGGTACATCAACCCATGGGCCCCGAGGGACCAGTGAACAACTTGTAATGTCTCCACCTTATTAACTCGCTCAATTATCTCGTTATTCCAGGTTCAAGACTTCATGAACAGCGATGAGGATTTCTCTGGAGCTGGTTCAGCTTTCACTCAGGTACTGGACTCAACCAGGGCCAACATTGAGTGGCTCAGAAAGAACTACGACACCTTCCAGAACTGGCTGCAGATTCAGACAAGGAACTGAAACTCTCTTCATCCGACGATAGCCACTTATCATGAAGGCTGTTATCACGGAATGGATGGGAACGAAATTTGAGATCTTCGTGAACTGGATCGAAAATTTGACAAGGAACTAAAATTGTCTTAATCCAAAGATATGGACATGTATCACTTATGGTGTGATCATGGATCTACACGGAATGGGTGGGAACGAACTTTGATATCGTAAATCAGACAATTAGCTAAAACTCTCTTAATGCATATACAACGGACTCCCTCCATACCGACATCCCTCTAATCGGCCATTCCCTGTAAACTGACATATTTATTTGGTCCCGAATTTGTCCCTATATAATATCATTTAAGAAACCCCCTCTAATCCCACATGCCTCTATTCGAATTCTGACACTCTGGTCCCAAAACATGTTTTTAGTGCAAATTGACTCTCTCTAAAACGACATAGTGTGTATTTAGCAATCAACATGCTTGTACGGGAGGTGACCTGCCAAGGCGTAATAGGATTAACTGTTAATTACTCACCAACTTTTAAAATGCGAATCAAACAGCTAATTACTTGTTCATTGGATTCACAAAGTGGTGAAATCACATGTTAAGTTCTGGTAATGAGTTTATACAAACTCTCTAAACATGTATATATTTAAGACCTCGGATCAATCTAAACTTCGACATTTTTCACCGGTCCCAAAGGGATGTCGGTTTAGAAGGAGTCCACTGTATATATAGTTCATGTATTCTATATTTAAGACTTGTGTTACGTATCAATATTGACAGGAGTATTGCCGAAATTATGAGTAGTTTTAGATAAAGTTAAAATAATGTGAAATTAATCGAAATGAGCAAAATATAATCGAACTAGCGTGCTAAAATTTTCGAACTTTCGGGATTTTTGTTATTGAAATAACGAGAAAATTCGGCTTAAAAATAACTTATTTAGCACCAATATGATTTTATACCATTTCATTGATCTACCGTCAGTCATCACGTGCAGTCAACACTAATTTGCAGAGCACGTGAACGGAATTTTGATGGTAGCATTTTAAACAAGCGCGCTGTTTTTGAAATCAGAGTAGTTAGACTAGTAAAATAGACAGCCTACCCTTTTGTCGGGTTTTTTCAACCTAGTGTCTTCAAACTGGAGCACGAAGGTGTTTAATTCTCGAAGTCCGCTAACCAATCATTGATAGGTCATGTTTTGTACATATATAAATTGTTCAAATTGTTTTCAGTAAACATCAACGTCTAATTAAACTTCATGAAGTTTTGTGTTCTTGATAACATGTTCAGCGGGTAAAACTCTCTTCAAACTGCAAAGACTCAAATGAACTGTCAACAAATATTTCCTGACGGTATGTGCACGACAGTTTCAATCAACTTGTACTGCACTCATGACACCCAGTCTCCTTGACCGGCAACTCAGGTTTGACAGGTGGCTGGCTGGTTGGGTTGTTGTTTAACGCCAGACTCAGCAGTATTTCCAGCTATATACTGGCTGTCTGAAATAATCGAGTCTGGACCAGACAATCTAATGATCAATACGATGAGCATCGATCTACGCAATTGTGATACGATGACATGTGTCAACCAAGTCAGCGAGCCTGACCACCCGATCCCGTTAGTCGCATCTTACGACAAGCATGGGTTACTGAAGATCAATTACACATCGGGAAGGTTGCAAAGAACAAACAATAGATGTCGTGAAACTGTCTTATTGAGAATACCCTAGGGTGGAGCAATGAGATAAAAACGTATTAGAAAATTCAGAAGCAAACACACAAATGTATACTGAAACTGTAAATTGGTGGTGAGAGGGTATTGAGTGAGTGAGTATGATTTTACGCCGCTTTTAGCAATATTCCAGCCATATCACGGCGGGGGATACCAGAAATAGACTTCACACATCGAACCCGGGTCTTCAGCGTAACGAGCTGACGCTTTAACCATCAGGCTACCCCACCGCCCCAGAGAGGGGCGAGAGGGTATGTTAACATTCGAAACAAGATGTAAACTGACGAGCAAAAGAAACTGATCACCAACTTCACTGTGATATTTATGAGAATCATTTTGCAAACAGAAATCGTTTTTCAATGATTTGACCGAAACCACAGGGATGCACGTGGTTCCCGGCGTACATGGAGTTTATCTGTCACAGTCAGATTACTTCAAGCATAGTGTGGGTTCAAAATTCGTTTTACAAATTCCATGATCAATGAAAATAAAGTGATGCATTTCTAAAGTAAACTACCGGGCACAAGACTTCACTTCACAAAAAATAGAAACAAAGACGTAAGTGAGATTTAAGATTATTATTTTAAAAACAGCAATCAGTTTCAAATAATTTGACTAAATTTCATTTTAATGCTGGCTTGCATTTGCCGCAATTCATTAAGAAAGTGTCAATGGTTCGAAATTAAAAATTACACAAATCAGAGTTCATTCAAAAAGTGCATAAAGAGTCATATAGTATTGTGAGACAGGAGTCTGGGGACACGTTATCAATAGCGAGTGTCACCACTCTGGACATCCATACACGCCAGCACACGTTATCAATAGCGAGTGTCACCACTCTGGACATCCATACACGCCAGCACACGTTATCAATAGCGAGTGTCACCACTCTGGACATCCATACACGCCAGCACACGTCTCCTCATTGACGTCGTCAGTCGGCGGATGAGGTCAGCAGGAATCCTGTTTCATAAATCCAAGAGAATCTGTTCAAGTTCTTGTCGGTTCACTGAAGATGGTACACAGGGTTTCAGCTGACGATCAAGATGATCCCAGAGATATTCAATGGGGTTCATTTCTAGAGAACGCGCTGGCTAAGGCAATACGTTGACGTTGACGTTGTGCGGGTATTCTCGAACGATTCTGGCGGTGTGAGGCCTTGCGTTGTCCTTCTGAAAAATGACTCCTCTTGGCTGCTGTCGAATAAAGGGCACCACTAAAGGTCTCAACACATCATTCCTGTATCGCTGGGCATTCAGATTTTCTCGGATGGTAAACGGTCTTGTTAATCTCTGGCCACAAAGGCCGCCCCATACCACAACGCCTCCTCCATAGAATGGATGAACTTCTTGAACGCATGTGGGCATCGCCCCCTCTACGTGGAAAAAACTTTAACTGTGCCATCGTTTCTGAACCGACTGAACCGACTTTCATCTGTAAAGAACAGTCTCTCCCAGTCTGCCACCGACGTAAAATTCGTAACCATTGCAGTCAGCGTTGACGGTGTAGACGGGTGAAGGTCATTCCGTGGAAGGGGCGTTAAGCTCGTATTCCAGCCATACCAAGTCGTCGAAGGACTGTTCGTCTTCTGATGGCGTGCCCTAGTGCTGTCGCCGCCGTTGACATCGCCGTCACAGAGCTGTCCCGGAAGTGGATCTGCTGAATTAAGCGGTATTTGGTCGGTATCGTGACTCTTGGTCTTCCCGACCTTGGGTGGACTTTGGTCTGGCCTGCTTGATGGTAGTAGTTTATCAATTTGTTGATGGTAGGCTTGCAGCAGTTGCAGATTCTTGCCAGCTGAAGCCCCCATATTGGTCATACCGATCGCCCTGTCTTCTTTGGCTTGCTTAAGTCTTGGCAGATTCGTGGTGGTGGTTTTGGTTACTGCATGCTTGCTCAGTCCTACATCGGTATTTATGCCACATTCATGCCCATGCAATTGGAACGATGTCCCACAATTCCGTTTCCACGTTTTGAAAAATGCACGATTCTTACGAAGATTTCGGACAGCTCCGTTGTTATCGGGACCATTTTGCATTTGGCGAATGTTTTCTGTTTGGGTTCAAACATGTACCAGCGTTTTCGTTTTTCATACAATTATTTTAAAAGTGCTAACATTCTTTTGCCCGGTAGTTTAATAAGTAAAATGTATCATACAATGGATAGTGTTCTCGGCAGAATAAAGCCAACGGATATTTTCGGTATCCGTTGGGGTCATATACGGATATCGATGCAAATTAGAGAGGTCATATGCAAATTTCAGGGACTACTTTCACAGTGTAAACAAACATGGCGTCAAGGGTCGGCGGTCGTGTCCGGAGTATCGGCCGTGGTTACGGTACTGTCAGTGCTTTGATCCCAGAAAATTCATGCCTGGTTTTGATAGATGGAGTAGATTACAAAGCGAAGATAGAAATTCATAGGCTTTCGAAGATACCAACATCAGTTCCCCGACCGACTGTCAGTGTTAGCGAGAGAACGGTGCACAGTGTCACGCTAACATTAAAGCGTATTTGGTTGTTCAAAAAGTTAATTGAAGGTTTCTGAAGTTCCACGTGAGTTTGTTGTTATTTTTCAAACGTAAGCTAAGATTTGTTGACAAAAATACGTGCTTTAGCATAAAAGCTTACTGGGAACTAGATGACCGCTAAGTGACCAGGAGAAAATTGTGACGTAACGTATTACTCCGCACATATATGTGACGTCATAGACATTCCACGAAGTTTAGTTTCATGATTTGTGGCATTTGAAATCGCATTTTTAAAAATTATAAAGCAAAAATGACTTTGTATATTAAATAGGTTATCACACTCGTGTGTTTTGGGATGGTTATTATCCTGCATTAGAATAAACACTATATTTAGCCTGCCAAGGCTCGCTAAATACAATGAGTATTCCTAATGCAGGATATTAACCATCCCAAAACACAGTTCGACGATATACTGGACAAATACTGAAAAACAGGAATAGATATGATATATGTGAATAAGCATATGGTTAAAAAACGATTTCTGTACTTTGGAAAGAGTCTGAGTCTCTCGAGTCCATCCGGGATTCGAACCCACACCCTCAGAGTCAGGCACCTAATCACCTGGTAGGATGAGATGGTGATGTGACTGTTAACCTACCCGCGACTCACAGACAGTCAGGGTTATGTACTCCTGGGCTGTTTATTCCCGAGGAAGCCAAATAATGAAAATTTAAAGTTCACTGAGTTTACAAGAATGAGTTCACTGAACCACAGCACGGGTAATAACCATTCTTAAAGTTTGTACTGGCACGATATTTATATGCTCATTACTCAGTATTACCTGTTTATGTGCTAAATTATTTATAATTTGTGCCAATGTATTTTATTCGGATGAAATACGTAGAACGTAAACTGCAACTTCACCGTTTCTCTATTGGATACTGTGACGTCACGCCACATACTGTAAGTCTATGTACTTTTTTAGCAATGAGCATCGTGTTGTGCAACCATGATTGTTGATATCCAGAGTGAAGACAGGATCTTAGCAGAATGCTGGTGCTGCAATGTGAGATGACTGAGACTCGCACCCTTGCATATATACAAAAGACTTATAGAAATGTATGTACGAAGCTGCATTCGTCCACGCTGTCCCAGAAGCTTCCGGTTTACTCTTGACACCTGGATATAGTAACAAGAACATCAGTGCCCCAAACTGAATCTTAACAGAAACAAGGTAATGCAATTACAACATTGATTTACACTGAATTACACAGACATAACATTGCTTAACTTGTACAGTCTGAGGTATTAGTCCGTGTAAAGGAATAATGACCAACCGGCAATATGACTTAGGAAGTGACCAAGAAATAAATTACATTCCCAAAAGCTAACCTGTAAAATCGCTTCGTTCTTTCAGAATGTGGACAATAAAGAGACTGGCGATTCTGGCCTTGTTGTCACTGTTACACATTGCTAAGGCTCAAAAAGTGTCAACTCTAAATGGCCCCCTTCTAGGACAACGTCTGTCAGTGTTGGGCAAGCCCCTTGACGTGTTCTATGGAATCCCATATGCCAAGCCTCCTGTAGGTGATCTTCGCTTCAAGCATCCTCAGCCTTCAGAGTCATGGGGACCGGAAGTTAGGGATGCACGAAAACCGACGCCATCTTGTTTCCAACCTGAAGATGCTCTAAGCACAGATGAAAAACACAAACAGATACCCGATGATTACAGTGAAGACTGCCTTCATCTTCCAGTGTGGGCGCCATCAGACAATGATGGCAATCTGGCAGTGATGGTCTGGATCTATGGTGGAGGTTTTTATAGTGGATCTACACGAATGCCACTATATGAAGGAAAATACCTTGCAGCAGAGAATGACGTCATCGTTGTTTCAATGAGTTACAGATTGGGGCCTTTAGGGTTCGGCTACCTTGGCCCAGATACCATCCCTGGCAACATGGGCTTGATGGATCAAAGATTAGCCTTACAGTGGGTGAAAGACAATATTGCCAACTTTGGTGGAGATCCAAGCCGAGTGACCATATTTGGAGAAAGTGCTGGAAGAGTCAGCGTGAGTCACCACATGGTGTCACCTCTGTCAGGTGACCTGTTTGACAGAGCCATCATGCAGAGTGGGACCCTCACTTGCCCATGGGCATACACGGAGCCCAGAACAGCAAAACGGAAACTAAAGAGACTTGCTGATCTCCTTGAATGTCCTTCATCTTCGTCAGATGCAGAGATGTATGACTGCTTGAAGGCAGCAGATTCTCGTACGATGTCAGACCTTCAACTTAGCGGCTTGTTTGATGAAGGACTTGCATTTGTTCCAGTTGTGGATGGGTACTTCCTTCCTGATGACCCAACAACTCTTCTGTCCAGCGGATCCATCATGCAGACCAGTGTATTGCACGGTTTTACTGGAGATGAGATTACACTGTATTTGGCAATGGCGTTGAAGCAGATGAGAAACGTGTCCACATTACCCGAAACACTGATTTTAAGTCAGCCAGAATATGAAAGTCTTCTTTCTTTTGACTTTGTTGGCGGTAAAGGATTTGAAGAGCCTCTTCATCTGTTTTATGAAAGTCAGAAAGTCCCTTTAAAGGACACTCACTATTTGGATGTCATGACTCGCATGATGTCAGATAGGGATTTCAAGTGTCCTCATCTTGAGTTTGACAGATTGTACTCTCCTGCTAACCCTACCTACGTGTACAGCTTTAATCACCCACTATCAGTTAGTCCGTATCCACAGTGGATAGGAGCAGCCCACTGGTACGAGCTTGACTTTGTTTTTGGTTGGGTTCTGGAAAAGTCTCTGGGATGTACAGAGGAGGAGATGGAACTCAGCAGGACCATGATGACGTACTGGACCAACTTTGCCAAGTCAGGGTGAGTGAGTGATAGAATGAGTCTGAGACAGTAAGTGACATATTCCATCACGGAATTGTCAGATCAATCAAATGTATTCTCAGAAGTCATAGCTGGCGAAGCGATGTGTTCGCTCGTCAAGCAGAGTAACGTGTCTTAGTCCCCACATGTACAATGTCTGATGCCTTATTTTGAAAACCTCAACCGTTTTTTTCTGAATGTGTCCAGAAACCATACTCGCTCACACATTTTGAATGATACCTAACATATCAAACAAAACGTTCAAGTCCTTTGAAGTTCTCATATCTGTTTGCAGCGACCCTACCGCTCCTTTCGCCGTCAAGGTGAACTGGCCAGCCTCTGACAACACTGATCTCTCCTACATGGCGCTTGACGTGGTCAGCAACTTATCAGCAGGACATGGGGTAGTCCACCATGAATGTGTCTTCATCAACAGCATTCTACCTACGATTTCTACAGGTGATTTTGATACTTACTTACAAACAAATACTCGTAATCGTGTCAGTGTTGAGCCTTCTTTCATGAAATACTGTTTTCAAAGCAGCTTTGCACCCAACTCCACCTTTAAACTGGTACCATCGCTGATAGACGTATGCTTCAATACTTCAGTACTTTAAAGGCACGTTTGTTTGTAACCAGATGGCAACAGCCCCTCCCCATTTCACTCCTGGTTTATCGTTGTGGATATTACACTGGACTGTAGCAAGGCAAATAATGAGTCCATTTGATGCTTTTCAGACCCCCTGAAGGGCAGGAGTACTGCACGAGAGGATGAAAGGACAGAATCACAATAATCAAACCCCGAGAGACATACATGTCATTCTCATTATTGAAGCTGCTTGGGGAAGCAACATCCACTGGAGTCTAGGTCGGGGACAGTCCTCAGAGACATACATCACTCTGCATGGATATTGTGACGGCATTTACACTGCTGTGTCATCCGTGTCTAAAACCACTACCTCTACCACACCCAAGCATACTTCTCAAGGACGCCATGGAATAAATAGTCTAACTGTATTTTATTATTCCTCACGGTTCCAGGTCAGGACGTCAATTTGTACATGTGCCTACATTATATACTAGTAAAGTCAACAGGTAAATCAACTGCTCGGACAAGTCACTTGGTACAATAGTTATCTACTCTGGCAAGTCAACTGCCATCACCTTTACCACGCCCCTATATACCTGTCAAGGAAGCCATGGAACTAATTATATTCCTGTGTCTCTCGATCCTACGTCATGAAGTTCCTGTACCTACAATATACACTCAGAGAAGTCAACTGGTATGTAAACTATCTGCTCGGACAATTCACTTGGTACCTGTGTTATCCAGCAAGTCAAGTACCGTAGACATTATATACTCAGAGAAGTCAACTGGCGTGTGAACTATCTGCTCGGACAAGTCAACTATGGCATATGTGACACAGGCCTTTTTCCCCCATTATACACAGGTCTATATCCCCCTTGTGACCAAATAAATAAATAAATAAATAAATAAATAAATAAATAAATAAATAAATAAATAAATAAATAAATAAATAAATAAATAAATAAATAAATAAATAAATAAATAAATAAATAAATAAATAAATAAATAAATAAATAAATAAATAAATAAATAAATAAATAAATAAATAAATAAATATCAATCAATCAATCAATTACATAGACAACTTCAAATGCTCATCTGTTTATTCTACAACAGTATTGACATGGATGATATAGTACAGCGAGAGGGGAATGTTCATTCATCATTATCCAGCGATCACCGATGTGAAAGAAGGTATACAAGTGAACCAGGTCGACTACAGATCACCGGTTTTTTTTTAGAGTCGATGGGAATTACGTTGTAGACGTTCTGTCACACTGATTCTTTCCGTGTAGTACATTGTTACAGCTGCCCGTATTTCAGAGGCCCGTTGTTTCGAATTATGTCAAATAGATTCACGTCATATTTCTTCTGTAAATAGAAATGAAATAAAATAATCAACTGGAATCACACAGGCATAACTTCCGTTTTAAATCACCCTCGATTATCCAGTGTAAAACTATTTATTAGGACTGTGTACTGGCAAATAAATTGTTTATATAATGCATTACTGGTACCCATATTGTGATCGTATTTCTATATATTGTGATCTGCAGTGTTTGGCCGTAAGTACAACTGACTGTACAACTCAGAGCCTATTTTCTACACACAAAGGCCCCCAAACCAAATGATATGGTTCTGATAGCGACCATCTAAAATAAATTTGGTTAGATAGTTAGGGACGCTTTCTTTTTCAGACAATTCATGGCATACATGTATACAGTATGCCGTTTTATCACACAGACAGTCGGAATATCAGACTGTCTGACAATGTAATTGTACTTTGGTACATCCTGCTCGAGGTCGTCCTAACACAGACAGTCGGAATACCAAACTGACTGATAATGTAATTGTACTTTGGTACATACTGCTCGAGGTCGTCCTAACACAGACAGTCGGAATACCAAACTGACTGATAATGTAACTGTACTTTGGTACATTCTGCTCGAGGTCGTCCTAACACAGACAGTCGGAATACCAAACTGACTGATAATGTAATTGTACTTTGGTACATTCTGCTCGAGGTCGTCCTAACACAGACAGTCGGAATACCAGACTGACTGATAATGTAATTGTACTTTGGTACATTCTGCTCGAGGGCGTCCTAACACAGACAGTCGGAATACCAGACTGACTTATAATGTAATTGTGAACATATACAGTACAACCAGAAATTATTGAGAATTTAAAGATTGTAATTTTTTATATTTTTTTCACTCATTACTCACGTATTAAATGTGAATATTAGCAGAACATAACTCCAGATTCAAAGACAGGTGAACAGTTAGTATTTTGTCAAGTCACCATGGGCAGCAATGCAGGCTTCAATGCGGCGGGACATACTACTGATCAAAGAAGTTAGAAAGTCGTGGTCCATGCTGTCCCAATATCGGACCACCTCTTCTTTCATTTCAGCAATATTTGTCAGATTTTTCTTATTGACTCTTTCCTTCATAAGTCCCCAAACATTTTCTATTGGATTTAGATCAGGGCTATAGCTTGGCCAATCTAATAATGTCATATTTTGGGTCCGAAACCAGGCCTGTGAATGCTTTGAACGATGTTTTGGTTCGTTGTCCTGCTGGAAAATCCAAATATTTCCATAGAACACGTGAGCAGATGGAAGTAAATGTCCCTCGAGAATATCTGTGTACCGCTCACTGTTCATATTCCCTTCAAATACACAGAGGGGCGTTGCCCCTAACACAGATATGCAATCCCCACACGTTAAATTTCGGACTGTACTTTGGGAGCTGATACAAAGGTTTTTCAGTTTGTTTGGTCCAGAATTTCAGTGTATTAGGAAACAGCCACACATAACTTTCATCTGAGAAATCACATTGTCCCAGTTAAAATTTCTGTGCTGTAAGCACCAGTTCAATCTTCGCTCCTTTTGTTCAGGTTTCATGATCGGTGATGGAATTCCTCGACTTTTCTGCCAACCCATTGCATGCAGCTCAGTTCTAATTGTCTCCTTACATACAGCCACAGTTCCTCTATCAATTATATCCAGCCTTACGTTTTCTAAACTCCTTCGTTTGGTTTTAGAAACAAGAATACCAAGCCGCCTCCTGTCACCGACAGTCAATTTCCTGGGCCTACCTGCGCCTCCCTGGTGCTCAATGCCATATCAATTTGCAATATTTTTCAAAACACGATAAACAGTAGACAAAGGGATGCCTGTTCTATTTGAAATCACTTTAGCTGATCTGATGTCCTTGTTATAATACCCTCAAATCAACTTCCTCTTCTCTAAATCATCCATACTGAGGATCACTGAAAATGTCGTCTGCTAGCAAGTAAACAAAGGGGGATAACACTTCACAAACTAATGAAAAAGGATTTACGGAGTTGTCTCTCTTGAAACCAAGCACTTAATAGCTGGTCAAGGTTGTTTATACTAGAAATCCAATTAAACATATTCCTAAAATTCTCAATAATTTCTGGTCAAACTATACATGCCAATCACTGGATTGCATGGACCAGACTCGGATATTTACTGACCGCCGCCATAGAGCTATAGCCTGAGTGCGGCGTTAAACATTAAACAAACAAACAAACAGATAAAGGCAGTACTCACGTACAGTCAAACTGCGTCTAGTTTAAGATTTACCTGTGAACAGGACAGAGGGGGGCAGGTGGATGGAGGATTGAACACGGAGTCATCAAACTCGCTACTGAACGACCCCCAGCCAGTCGAGGTCAGAAAGTCCACTGTAAAGACAAAATTATGTCAATAAAACTTTACACGTCATTACAATATAACCACTTCCTTCCTCAAGTTACCCTCATCCAAGTGTGATGGGGCGGATGGGTAGCTCAGTGGATAAAGCGTTCGCTGGTCACGCCGAAGAAGACCTGTATGAAACCTCACTCACTCACTCAGCCTACCCCAGCGCACCTAAGGTGATCGTAAATCCCACACTTGAACACAGACCTACGATCGTCGTAGCGCTAAGGTGATCGTAAATCCCACACTTTAACACAGACTTACCATCATCGTAGCGTGGTCGTAACTCCCACACTTTAACACAGACCTACGATCGTAGTAGCGCTATGGTGGTCGTAACTCCCACACTTTAACACAGACTTACGATCGTCGTAGCGCTATGGTGGTCGTTACTCCCACACTTTAACATAGACTTACGGTCGTCGTAGCGCTATGGTGGTCGATACTCCCACACTTTAACACAGACCTACGATCGTAGTAGCGCTATGGTGGTTGTAACTCCCACAACACAGACTACGACCGTTAACACAGACCTACGAGACGTAGTAGTAACGCTATGGTGGTCGTAACTCCCACACTTTAACACAGACTTACGACCGTCGTAGCGCTATGGTGGTCGTTACTCCCACACTTTAACATAGACTTACGGTCGTCGTAGCGCTATGGTGGTCGATACTCCCACACTTTAACACAGACCTACGATCGTAGTAGCGCTATGGTGGTTGTAACTCCCACACTTTAACACAGACCTACCATCGTCGTAGCGCTATGGTGGTCGTAACTCCCACACTTTAACACAGACCTATGATCGTCGTAGCGCTAAATTGGTCGTAACTCCCACACTTTAACACAGACCTATGATCGTCGTAGCGCTATAGTGATCGTAACTCCCACACTTTAACACAGACCTATGATCGTCGTAGCGCTATGGTGGTCGTAACTCCCACACTTTAACATAGACTTACGGTCGTCGTAGCGCTATGGTGGTCGATACTCCCACACTTTAACACAGACCTACGATCGTAGTAGCGCTATGGTGGTCGTAACTCCCACACTTTAACACAGACGTCTACCATCGTCGTAGCGCTATAGTGGTCGTAACTCCCACACTTTAACACAGACCTACGATCGTCGTAGCGCTATAGTGATCGTAACTCCCACACTTTAACACAGACCTACCATCGTCGTAGCGCTATGGTGGTCGTAACTCCCACACGTTAACATAGACTTACGATCGCGCTAAGATCGCTTTGTGGAACGTGGTCCTGATCTGAACAATAAGACAAAGAACAAATAAATATTTCAAGAATCAATATGTGAGGGTGAGGTGTGTTAAACAACAACAACACGACGACGACGACGACAAGAGGAAGAACGACAACAAATGACTATCCTACTCAAGCACACACACACACGTACACTTCCACTGCACGTTAACAGGAGTTGACATAACGTCATGACATACTTACGCTTGC